CTTGTTGTGCCGTATCCGTTATCGGACGTTGGCGATCCTGTTTTTATCAGCTGCCACTGCACGAAAAAGGGCTGCTGAGTTTTGTCCAAACCGGTCCCTTAAATTTCGAAGCCACGATGTTCTTCTTCTGCCTGGACCCTGTTTGCCTCCAATGAAATGGAGCATGTCGTATTTTTTCTGGGTGTCGCATCACCTGTCCGAAATATTCCAATTTTCATTTTTTGTTTTGATGATGGCTTCACCTCCTCGTTTCTGATCTTGTCAACCCAGCTTATACGTAACAGCTGCCTGTAAATCCACATTTCAAATGCTTCTAGTCCAGTGGTTCTCCACCTGTGGGTTGGGACCCCATTTGGGGTCGAACGGCCATTTCACGGGGGTCGCCAAACAACGCAGTCCGCCATTTTTTTCCCCCTTTTCCTTAGCTGTGCTACTCCCTTTTATTCTGTTGGCTTTTGAAAGCCAATAGAATAGACTCTCTTGAATAGAGTCTAATTCTATTGGCTTTCCAAAGCCAATAGGAATTGTCCAGGCTGTCTCTGCCCTGCTGAGCCCGCCCAAAGTCCCATTCTGCAAACGGTGCTGCACCAGTTGAGTAGCCCTCGACTTACGACCGGTTGAGTAGTCCTCGACTTACGACCGGTTGGGGGGTCGCGGCATTAAAAAGGTTGAGAACCACTGTTCTAGTCTCTTCAGGGGCCAACTCTCTCCTCCATAGAGCAGGATAGAAAAAATATAGCATCTGACAAGCCTGATTGTCAGTCTTAGGCTGAAAGGATGCATTCAATCAGCCAGGGGAGACTTTTCTTGTTCTTGATGCTCTGCCTGTATTTTGGACTTGGGCATCTTGTTTTAAAAGGGCCCTTTTAAAGCCCAGGATGGGTCGTTCGCCTTTAGGCCGGGCCTGTCAGCTGTGCTGAGCAATTAGAATAATCGGAATAATCAAGAGTTGGAAGGGAGCTTGTAGGTCATCTAGTCCAACCCCCCCTCCGTCCAGTCAGGAGACCCTACCCCATTTCTGACAGATGGCAGTCAAGTCTCTTCTTGAAAGCACGGATCTTGCGGATTTCATGCTGGAGGAGGCTGCTTTTCCAGAAAGCCATCCCTGGAAATTTTGGGGAAAGACGGAGACGGATGTCCAGCAAAGAGTCCAGATTGGCTTCGTATTGCAAGTGTCCAGTCCCTGCTGAAAACCCTTGATTTTCCTTCGTCTCCCCAGCAGATACCATTTTGTACTGCTGACGGCATCCGTTCTCCCAGCATGCTTCCGCTGCTGCTTTCCTCTCCTTCCCTCTCTTTTCCTGCCCTTTCTGTTTTCCATCCAGGATTACCCCAAAAGAGTGTTTCTGAGTCCTTTTCCTTCCTTTCCTTTCCTTTCCTTTCCTTCTTTTCTTTCTCTTTTTCCTCTTTCTCCTTTCCCTTCCTTTCCTTCTTTCCTTTCCATTCCTTTCCTTTCCTCCCCTTTCCTTTTTTCCCTTCCTCCTCTTTCTCCTTTCCTCTCCTTTCTTTTCCTTTTCTTTCCCTCTTCTCTTTCTCCTTTCCTTTTTCTTTCCTTTCCTTTCCTTCTTTTCTTTCCCTTCCTCTTTTTTCTTTCCCTTCCTTTCCTTTTCTTTCCCTTCTTTCTCTTTCTCCCTTCCTTTCCTCCCCTTTCCTTTCCTTTCCTTCTTTTCTTTCCCTTTCTCCTCTTTCTCCTTTTCTTTCCTTTCCTTCTTTTCTTCCCCTTCCTCTTTTTTCTTTCCTTTCCTTTCCTTTCCCTTCCTTCTCTTTCTCCTTTCCTTTCCTTCTTTTCTTTCCCTTTCTCCTCTTTCTCATTTCCCTTCCTTTCCTTCTTTCCCCTTTCTTTTCCTTTCCTTTCCTTTCTTCAGCTCCGGAAACCTGAGCTGGCCTGGCAGGAACCCTTCTCCCAGCCAGCTATAAAAATAGGATTCCTATTCACACAATGGTTGAGCTGGCCTTGTTTGTATTCCTGAATCCCAGCTGGCCTTTTTTTTAAAAAAAAAAGTTTCTCCTTTCCGGTCACTTTCTCTTGCCACTAAACAGCATGTTCCAGGAGCAAGAACATTTGTGTGTCTCTCTGTGTGTGTGTGTGTGTGTTTGTGTGTATTGCACTGATGCCCGGTATTAAAATGACTGCCAGCCATCAAAAAGCCAATCCTGCCTGATCCAGTGTTTCAACTCCCCTTTCCATTCTGGTCACCTGTCGCTCAGAAGCTTGGCCTTTAATTCGATGGACGTTGGGTGTTCTTGCCCAACACGGGTGGGGGGGGGCTGGTTCACAGTGGTGGAGCTTCTCTGCACCCTGGAAGCTGCCTTCCCCCCCCCCCGTGACGGTTCAGACGTTGATCCTGCAAAAAAGAAGAACGAAACCCAGTGAGCTTCAGAAAAAGATTGGATCACCTGAGGGTGCCTCGTTCGCAGGTGTTCAGGCAGGGACCCCTTTTGGGAGGGTGGGCCTGTCTGCCTCCCCTGCTTTGGAGGGGGGGATTCTCCCCACCAGGAGCTGAGAAGCAGAGTGATGGTTTTCCGGGGGGTGGGGGGGTGTTTCTCCAATCCGTCCTCGGTGGCTAAGCAGATCGAGATTGACTCGCTGATTACGGACGTTTGGCTGGGAAGCGTGGATTAATCAATCCTTCAGCGCAAGGCACCCCTTTTCTCCCGGCCCCAAATTTTAGTTCCTTCCAGCTCACTCAAGAATTCTGATGGTGTACAATTTGGGTTGGGGGGGCTTCAGAGGCCGGCCAAGGCAAAAAAAAGATGGCAGTCTTCAAACATGGCTGCTAACAGTGGGACAAAGAAGGTCTCAGAAGGCCTGCTGTCCTTCCAGTCGGGCTGGATGCAGCATGGGCGTCACAGCTGCTCCTTCTTTCCTGCCTCGGTGGCCTTTCTCGGGGGCAAAATCAGCCTGTTCTCCCCCCCCCCCAGGTACTGCAAATCAGTGCTTGGAAAACCTCTGGCTAAGCCATATTTCAGGGCAAAAAAGTCTGCGGGGAGTGGGATATGTGTGTGTGGGGAGGGGTCTTTCCTTCTTAACAGACTCCGTAGAATAGTAACGGCAATAGCTCTTTCACAGGGCTCTACAGCCCTCTCTAAGCAGTTTCCAGAGTCGGCCTCTTGCCCCCCCCCCAACAATCTGGGTCCTCCTTTTACCCACCATGCATGGATGGATGGATGGATGGATAGACAGATAGACAGATGGATGGATGACAATAGCACTGAGACTTATATACCGCTTCACAGTGCTTTACAGCCCCCTCTGAGCAGTTTACAGAGTCAGCCTGTTGCCCCTAACAATCTGGGTCCTCATTTTATCGACCTCGGAAGGATGGAAAGCCGAGTCAACCTTGAGCGAGTCAGGATCGAACTCCTGGCACTCGGCAGAGTTAACCTGTAATACTGCATTCTAACTACTATGCCACCACAGCTCATAGGTAGGTAGGTAGGTAGATAGATATGATTGATAGATATGATTGATAGACATAGATAGATAAATAGACAGGCAGAAATCCGACAGACAGACAGACATGGATATGAGTGATAGACATAGATGATAGATAGATAGATAGATAGATAGATAGATAGATAGATAGATAGATAGATAGATATAGACAAGACAGACATGGATATGAGTGATAGACATAGATGATAGATAGATAGATAGATAGATAGATAGATAGATAGATAGATAGATAGATAGATAGACAGAGACAGACATGGATATGAGTGATAGACATAGATGATAGATAGATAGATAGATAGATAGATAGATAGATAGATAGATAGATAGATATAGACAGACAGACAGACAGACAGACAGACAGACAGACATGGATATGCGTGATAGACATAGATGATAGATAGATAGATAGATAGATAGATAGATAGATAGATAGATAGATAGATATAGACAGACAGACAGACATGGATATGAGTGATAGACATAGATGATAGATAGATAGATAGATAGATAGATAGATAGATAGATAGATAGATAGATAGATATAGACAGACAGACAGACAGACATGGATATGAGTGATAGACATAGATGATAGATAGATAGATAGATAGATAGATAGATAGATAGATAGATAGATAGATAGATAGATAGATAGATATAGACAGACAGACAGACAGACAGACAGACAGACAGACATGGATCTCGGAGTCCTAGTGGACAATCCCTTAAATAGGAGCCAGTCGTGTGCTGCAGCTGCCAAAAAAGCCAACACACTGCTAGGCTGCATTAACAGAGGGAGTGAATCAAGATCACATGAAGTGTTAATACCGCTTTGTGGTAAGATCACACTTGGAATACGGCATCCAGTTTTGGTCACCACGATGTAAAAAAGACGCTGAGACTCTAGAAAGTGTGCAGAGAAGAGCAACAAAGACGATCAGGGGACTGGAGGCTAAAAGATATGAGGAACGGTTGCTGGAATTAGGGATGTCTAGTCTGAGAAAAGAAGGACGAGGGGGGACATGATAGCAGTTTTCCAGTATTTGAGGGGCTGCCACAAAGAGGATGGGGATCAAATTATTTTTCCAAAGCTCCAGAGGGCAGGACAAGAAACAATGGATGGAAACTAATCAAGGAGAGAAGCAACCTGGAATTAAGGAGAAACTTCCTGACAGTGAAGACAATTAACCAGTGGAACAGAAGTTGCCTCCAGAAGTTGTGGGTGCTTCATCATTGGAGGTTTTTAAGAAGAGACTGGACAGCCATTTTGTCTGAAAGGGTCTAGGGCAGGGGTAGGCAACCTTGGCTCTTTTATGACTCGTGGACTTCAACTCCCAGAATTCCTGAGCCAGCCACGCTGAGGGGAAAGGGAGAGGTTTCCAAGCTGAGCCAGGCTGGCTCAGGAATTCTGGGCGTTGAAGTCCCCGAGTCATAAAAGAGCCAAGGTTGCCTGCCCCTGGTCTAGGGTTTCCTGCCTGAGCACGGGGTTGGACTAGATGACCTCCGAGGTCCCTTCCAACTCGGTTATTCCTCTCGGCTTCGCAGGAGTCTCCCCAGGACAGCGCCATCACCCGGGACATCAACCGGACCTTCCCTGCCCACGACTACTTCAAGGACACGGGAGGAGACGGTCAGGACTCACTGTATAAAATATGCAAGGTACCAACTGTGGCTTTCCTTGGGGGGGGGAATGGAGATCTTGGTTTCTCTTGGCCAGGATTCAGGAACAGCCCAGTGGGACGGGGAGTCGAGGTTTCCTTTCGGCCAGATTGGATCCAGAAGTGCCTCCCCCCCCCATCTTCACCCCCAGAGATAAAACACACAGTCCTTCATTTGCATTATAAGGTGGATCAAATGCCGGAGGTAATTAGCAGCTCTCTCTTTTGAATTTGGCCTTTCAAAAGCTGCCTCCTCTGCCCTGGGGGGGGGTGGTGGAGGAGGGGGTGGTGGTGCTGGGCTTCCTGGCCCCCTCCGAAGCCCCTTGTCAAAAAAGGGCCATTAGCAGAGGGGAGCCCCGCCCGGCATCCGCCAATCAAAGGCTTCCCAGCTTTGCTTGCTCTTTGAAGAACGGGCCCCAAAGGGCAGCCATGGGCGAGAGAGGCTTAAGGGCAGAGCTGATGCCCACTCTTTCCTTGCCTGGCCCAGGTTAAGATTCAGACGATCCCGAGCTCGGCTCCTGAGACCCCGTAGGCCAGAGGTCCCCAACCTTTTGGGCACCAGGGACCGGTTCCGTGGAGAGAGGTTTTTCCCGCGGACCGGAGGGGGCCTGGTTTTGCGAGCTGCCTGCATCCCCGCAGATGGGGCTTTGCTTTTATTTTTATTGTAAAAAAATTTTTTATTTTCAATTTTGCATTGCATTACGTTCATAAAAATACTTCGGCTAAAGAGTAAGATAAATTTATACACAGAACTTTCCGGTATTGCTCGCCCATCTATCCCCGCATCCGCCCTCTAACCTATTTCACTCTTTCCCTCTTCTTCCTCACTCTCCCCCTCTCCTCCTTCTCCTCCACCTTCCTACTTGCTTCTCCCCTTCCTCCTATCTTCCCTCTTTCCCTCTTCTTCCTCACTCTCCCCCTCTCCTCCTCCTCCTCCACCTTCCTACTTGCTTCTCCCCTTCCTCCTATCTTCCCTCTTTCCCTCTTCTTCCTCACTCTCCCCCTCTCCTCCTCCTCCTCCACCTTCCTATTTACTTCTCCCTTTCCTCCTATCTTCCTTCTTTCGCTCTTCTTCCTCACTCTCCCCCTCTCCTCCTCCTCCTCCTCCACCTTCCTACTTCTCCCTTTCCTCCTATCTTCCTTCTTTCCCTCTTCTTCCTCACTCTCCCCCTCTCCTCCTTCTCCTCCACCTTCCTACTTGCTTCTCCCCTTCCTCCTATCTTCCCTCTTTCCCTCTTCCTCACTCTCCCCCTCTCCTCCTCCTCCTCCACCTTCCTATTTACTTCTCCCTTTCCTCCTATCTTCCTTCTTTCGCTCTTCTTCCTCACTCTCCCCCTCTCCTCCTCCTCCTCCACCTTCCTACTTACTTCTCCCTTTCCTCCTATCTTCCCTCTTTCCCTCTTCTTCCTCACTCTCCCCCTCTCCTCCTTCTCCTCCACCTTCCTACTTACTTCTCCCCTTCCTCCTATCTTCCCTCTTCTTCCTCACTCTCCCCCTCTCCTCCTTCTTCTCCACCTTCCTACTTACTTCTCCCCTTCCTCCTATCTTCCCTCTTTCCCTCTTCTTCCTCACTCTCCCCCTCTCCTCCTCCTCCTCCACCTTCCTATTTACTTCTCCCTTTCCTCCTATCTTCCTTCTTTCGCTCTTCTTCCTCACTCTCCCCCTCTCCTCCTCCTCCTCCTCCACCTTCCTACTTCTCCCTTTCCTCCTATCTTCCTTCTTTCCCTCTTCTTCCTCACTCTCCCCCTCTCCTCCTTCTCCTCCACCTTCCTACTTGCTTCTCCCCTTCCTCCTATCTTCCCTCTTTCCCTCTTCTTCCTCACTCTCCCCCTCTCCTCCTCCTCCACCTTCCTATTTACTTCTCCCTTTCCTCCTATCTTCCTTCTTTCGCTCTTCTTCCTCACTCTCCCCCTCTCCTCCTCCTCCTCCTCCACCTTCCTACTTACTTCTCCCCTTCCTCCTATCTTCCCTCTTCTTCCTCACTCTCCCCCTCTCCTCCTTCTTCTCCACCTTCCTACTTACTTCTCCCCTTCCTCCTATCTTCTCGCTCCGGATGCAGTCCAGGGGAAATGCCCGAGCAATTCCTCTCTCCAAATTACAATGTCAATATTATATACAATAAAACTATTTCTACTTATCTGAGCTACTTAAGCTTCAACCCATCCTCCCCCCACCCCCCTCCCCCCACCCCCCTCCCCCACCCCACTTCCCAGAGCCAAGTACAGGGTTATACAAACATATTAAACGTAATCTTTTTTTTTTTAATGTTTATTTTTAACCAACAAGACAAAACAGAACAAAGCAAAACATAACACACATACACACACAATATATACTCCTCCTTTTTTTTTTACAGCAATTATGTAACGGTAATCTAATATTTACATTTCCCCCTTATTCTTCTTTAAATATTTGTCCTTATAGCCCCATTATTTCTTATTTACATTTTTCTTCCTTCATGTTCTACTTCTTACTAAGAATAATTCATATTATTATTATTATTATATATTATTATACACATATTTTCACTTTTGACCTTTCCATATTTATTCTCCTCTATTATTTCTAGTCTCCAACCAGACATACACCTTTTTCCATACTATATAATACTCTGTGTCTTCCTTTTCTTTTATCTCTTTTGTTATTTTGTCCATCTCAGCACAGTCCAGGATTTTTCTTATTACTTCTTCCTCTGATGGAGGAAGTTTACTAATTACTATTTAAGTTTACTAATTATACAATAAGCAAAATCATACTAACCCTTAACTCTCTTCAAACTTTAACATCGTAAGTTTACGAACAAACTCCTTACTCATAAAATAAGTGACACTTGGTAGTTCCATACTTCTTCTGAACAGATTCTATCCATCTTCTCCACACAGTAAGATATCTCTCTTGGGAATGGTCCTTTAAATAAGCAGAAATTTTAGCCACTTCTGCTAAATTAGAAACCTTAAATACCCGTTCTTCTAAAGAAGGCAGAGAATCCTTCTTCCAATATTGACCCACCAATAAACTTGCTGCGTAATTTTTGCCGATGGGGCTTTGCTTGTTGCTGGCATGCCGTGGCCCAGTACCGGTCCATGGATCGGGGGTCGGGGATCCCTGGCCTAGGCGACAACGGCTGATGGGCTGCTCCAGGGTTGCATGAAGACCTTCTCGCCTTCCTTCCTCCAGGCCTATTCGGTCTACGACGAAGAAATCGGCTACTGCCAGGGACAATCGTTCCTGGCCGCGGTGCTGCTCCTACACGTGAGTCTCGCTCAAGCTCTTTCAAAAGGGCCATTTTGGGGGGGCTCGCTTCCAAGGACACCCCAGGCCTGCTGTAATAAGAGGGATCTTCAATCCTGAACAGGGGATCCATTTATTTTATTTTATTTATTTATGAGACTTATATACCGCTTTAAGTGCAAGCACTCTCTAAGCGGTGTACACCAGTAAGCAATGTATATATATATATATTTACTTTGCCCCCAACAATCTGGGTCCTCATTTTACCTACCCCGGAAGGATGGAAGGCTGAGTCAACCTTGAGCCGGTGAGATTTGAACCGCTGACCTGCTAACACAGTCAGCTAAAGTGGCCTGCAGTACTGCACTCTAACTGCTGCGCCACCTCGGCTCATCTCTGCCAGTTTGCCCAAAATTGCAGCCCAAACGAGACTGGGCTGGTTTTAAAAAAAAATGGAAAAAAAAAAAAACCCCAAATCTTCCACAGGCAAATCCGTGCAAAATAAAAACCATCCCCGTTTGCTCAAAGACAAAAGGACAGAGTAGTCCTCGGCTTAACGACCACGATTCAGCCCAAAAACGTACGTTGCTGAGCAAGACGTTTGTTAAGGGAGCTTTGTCCCATTTTACGACTTTTTTTTTTCCCCTGGCCGCACTGGTTAAGCGAATCGCTGCAGTCGTTAATGTAGTCGCGTGGTCATTAAGCGAATCTGGCTCCCCCCCCACCATTGACTTTGCTTGTCGGGAGGTCGCAAAAGATGGCCGCGTGACCCCCAGGGAGGCTGCGACCGTCATAAATACGAGTCGGTTGCCCCAAGCGTCCGAATTTTGATCACGTGACCCTGGGGATTGGGCAACAGTTCTGTGAAAACATCGTAAGTCAGTTTTTCAGCGCTGTTGTAACTTCAAATGTTATCACTAAACAAGCTGTTGTAAGTCTAGGACAGGGGTCTTCCAACTTGGCCCTTTGATGACTTGTGGACTTCAACTCCCAGAATTCCTCAGCCAGGCATGCTGGCTGAGGAATTTTGGGAACTGAAGTCCACAAATCATAAAAAAGCCATAGTTCCCTCACATTGGCTGAGGAATTCTGGGAGTTGAAGTCCACCAGTCATCAAAGGGCCAAGTTTGAAGACCTCTGGTTTAGGACTACCTGTAAAATCTTCCCGCTGTGGGTCCCTACCTGTCTCTCACAGGTTGACCATCCTTGCAACAACATCTTTTGTAGTTGTGCGTTCCTGGGTGTCACATTTGCCAAAGAGGCCAGGTTTCCTCTGTTTGCCTTTCGGGGTGGAGTCCTTTGCAAGGGGCTAGTCCACAATTTCTCTTCAAATACCCCATTGAGAGCCTCTATCGCTGGAAAGGCGGTCTGGTTCCTTCCTATGCATGTTGCATTATCTTTCCATTAAATTCCTGAAATATATATTTTCCCCTCTCCGGCCTTTACAAGTTATTTTTAAACACTTGGGTGGATTCCCCCCCCCCCCAAACGCCCTCCTGTCAGATACTAAGTGATGTTTTCCAGGGCTTCCGGCTTATTCCTCACCCAGTCAGGCGACCTTCGTTTAATTTCCTTTTTTATTTTTTTTAAATTCCTCATCCTTCATCTCCTTTGAAGGATGGCCAGAGCATCCCTGACAGGTAAATAGAAAAAGACCCAGCACGTCTGTGAGAAAGCAGACTTCCTGCTGGATTGACAGAAGCCATTTCCCCCCCCCCTCCCCTTTCACTAACACACACAAAAAAGGACATGACACATTATTCAAACATATCCAAAACATGGGAGACAGGATGGGCTTTGCCCCACCCAGCTCACTGTGTTTGAAACACAGGAGATTTGGGGTCTTGGAGCCACATTTAAACCACATTACGAGCCGTGGGGGCGCAGTGGTTAGAATGCAGCCCTGCAGGCTACTTCTTCTGACTGCCAGCTGTTGACAGTTCGATGCTCACCGGTTCAAGGTTGACTCAGCCTTCCAGCCTTGGTTTCTGGGGTGCCCTAAAGAAGGAAGGTGTCCCTGACAAAGGGGGGGGGGAAGCAGATTTCCTGCCGATGGGCCTGGCTGTGGGTCTGCTTGGCCCGTTTTGCAAGGCGTCCTTGTCGATGTTTAGATTCGGGACCTGTTTGTTTAAAAACGCCCGACAGGAGGTTTCGTTCTCCCCTCTTTTGACAGATGCCTGAAGAACAGGCCTTCAGTGTTCTGGTCAAAATCATGTTCGACTACGGACTCAGGGAGCTTTTCAAACAGAATTTTGAGGACCTGCACTGCAAGTTTTATCAGCTGGAACGCCTCATGCAGGTAAGGATGGCGCGGCCTCGTCTCCCCTTCGGAGAGGCTGCTCAGGTTTACTCGAGAGAAAGGCGGCCAATGCAAACACGGGCATCGCTGCTGGGCCTCCCTCAGAGACCTTCTGTTCACACTGCAATCCCCAGGCGGGGTCTCGAGAGAACCGTCATCCCTTCCTTTCGAAATAGATTAGATTAGATTAGATTTAGATTAGATTAGATTGGTAGATAAATAGATAAAGATAGACAGACAGATGGAGATAGAGAGAGAGGTAGATAGGTAGGTAGATAAAGATAAGACAAATGGAGAGAGAGATGGAGACAGATAGATAGATAGATAAAGATAGACAGACAGATATGGAGATAGATAGATAGATAGATAGATAGATAAAGATAGACAGACAGATATGGAGATAGATAGATGATAGATAGGGATAGATAGATAGATAGATAGATAGATAGATAGATAGATAGATAGGTAGATAGACAGACAGACAGACAGACACATGGATAGATAAAGATAGACACAGACAGACAGAGAGAGATAATGGAGATAGATAGATGGATGGATGGATGGATGGATGGATGGATGGATGAATAGATAAAGATAGACACAGACAGACAGACAGAGATATGGAGATAGACAGATAGATGGATAGATAAAGATAGACAGACAGACAGAGATATGGAGATAGATAGATAGATAGATAGATAGATAGATAGATAGATAGACAGACAGACAGACAGACAGACACATGGATAGATAAAGATAGACACAGACAGACAGAGAGAGATAATGGAGATAGATAGATAGATAGATAGATAGATAGATAGATAGATAGATAGATGGATGGATGGATGGATGAATAGATAAAGATAGACACAGACAGACAGACAGAGATATGGAGATAGACAGATAGATGGATAGATAAAGATAGACACAGACAGAGATATGGAGATAGATGATAGATAGATAGATAGATAGATAGATAGATAGATGGATGGATGGATGGATGGATGGATGATAGATGGAGATAGATAGACAGACAGATGGGGATAGTGAGATAGAGAGATAGAAAGAGAGAGAAGGAGATACATACATACAGAGAGAGAGAGAGAGAAAGAGAGATAGAGGTGATAGATTTATTTATTCTTCTGCTAGGAAATAGTCAAGGGCAGCCCCAGAGCTATGCAAGCCCACAACAGAGAGGCTGTAAAGACAAATCTAAAAAAAAAAAAAAATTGTAGCCAGCTCAGGGCTTTTGGGGGGTGAAAGGATCTTCGCCAGATGCCGAAGCTTTGCCAAAGAGATGGCAAAGATAAAAGGGGCAATTGAGGCGCATTCTGGAAGGAGGCAAAACAATCTGGATAGGGTGTTTGTGGGTCAAGGATCCAGTCTGGACCTGCTGCCGCCGAAACATTTGTGCAAAAACAACCATCTGGGTTGTTTATTTATTTTTTGGGTGGTGTTGGCCTAATGACATTACCGGTGAGTTTTGTCCCCCAGGAGTACATCCCCGACCTGTACACCCACTTCCTGGAGATCAGCTTAGAAGCCCACATGTATGCCTCCCAGTGGTTCCTCACCCTCTTCACCGCAAAGTTCCCCCTCTACATGGTCTTCCACATCATCGACCTGCTGCTGTGTGAGGTACGTGCACCCCTGCGGTGGTTCCCCCCCTCCAACTTCTCCGAAGCTGGCCCTGACTCAAAAAACCAGGTGCCTGAGAAGACCCAAAGGTGCTTTTTCAAGAGACTTCCTCGTTTCTCTCTGAAGACGTTTCGCTTCTCCTCCCAGAAGCTTCTTCAGCTCTGACTGAATGGTGGGGAAGGGAAGGATTTATACTCCTCGCAGACAGCTGGTCATCTGCCTTCTTTTAGCGCAGCGGTTCTCAACCTGTGGGTCGGGACCCCCTTTGGGGTCGAACGACCATTTCACGGGGGTCGCCCAACAACGCAGTCCGCCATTTCCCCCCCCCCCCTTTTCCTTAGCTGTGCTACTCCCTTTTATTCTATTGGCTTTCGAAAGCCAATAGAATAGACTCTCTTGAATAGAGTCTAATTCTATTGGCTTTCAAAAGCCAATAGGAATGGTCCAGGCTGTCTCTGCCCTGCTGAGCCCGCCCAAAGTCCCATTCTGCAAACGGTGCTGCACCAGTTGAGTCGTCCTCGACTTACGACCGGTTGAGTAGTCCTCAACTTACGACCGGTCGGGGATCGCGGCATTAAAAAGGTTGAGAACCACTGCTTTAGATGCTTGCCCTTTTGGGATGAACCCCCTTCGAAAGGTGCGGGAGGATGAACGGATCCGCAGAAAACATGGCAGACTGCAGGAGCCGTTTGCGCTTCAGTTTGAGAGTCAGACAACCCAGACCCTTCCCCAACAGCCTGCGCCCGTCTCCCACAAGGAAGGGACCCCAGGGCAGAAAAAAATCCTGCAGAGAGCAAAGCTCTAACTTCTCAGTGACTCAGGTGACCCTGAGGACACAGGTAAACCTCCAAGTGGCCTTAGCCAACCTCTAAAAGAAGGCAAATGACTAGCTCTCTGCATGGAGGATAAATCCTTCCCTTCCCCACCCTCCAGTCAGAGCTGAAGAAGCTTCTGGGAGGAGAAGCGAAACGTCTTCAGAGAGAAACAAGGAAATCTCTTGAAAAAGCACCTTTGGACCTTCTTGGATGAGAAGAGAAACGTCTTCAAAGAAAAAGTAGAGAGTCCAGTTGCCTCCTGAAAAAAGCATCTTTGGGATAACTATGACCTGGAGGGCAGAGAATCCCCGTAGAGATTGTGCCTGGGAAGAGTTTCATGCTTTGGAGCGAAGGCGAGTCAACTTTCCCATTTTCCACTTGTTTTGGAGCCGTGACCTCACGGTTTCCGAGCATTTTTGAGGGTATTTCTATTATTTTCTGCCTCGGAGATGTTAATCGCGTCGTTTCTCAGAATCCACTCCGGGAGGGGACGGCGCGATCCAGAGCTTTGGGGGCTGGCAAGGTGTGGGGAGGGGGGCAACTTGCTTTGTGTTCTGGCATCTCCTGCCCGGGGAGGGGGGGAATGTCCTCTGAGTCACGGGAAGGAAGTGATTCAGCCAGCCAGGAAAAGTTGGAACGCAGCTCGGCACCTGGGCAGCCCTTTCCGGAGAAAAAGGCCACGTCGCTTTTAGCCATGCTTGGAGATCAAATCACCCTTGTATCAAGGAGGGTTTTTTTCCCAACCACCTGCCATCTCCTTGGCCCAGTGGCGCACACCAGCCACCTTCCCTTCTATTGGACTGCAGAACCCAGCATTCCCAGCCCAGCGGGCTCTGGACAGGTAGCCCTTGACTTACAACAGTTTGGTGACCGTTCAGAGTTAACAACGGTTCTGTCCAAAGCAGTGGTTCTCGACCTTTTTAATGCCGCGACCCCCAACCGGTCATAAGTCGAGGACTACTCAACCGGTCGTAAGGCAAGGACTACTCAACGGGTGCAGCACCGTTGGCAGAATGGGACTTTTGGCGGGCTCAGCAGGGCAGAGACAGCCTGGACAATTCCTATTGGCTTTTGAAAGCCAATAGAATCGGACTCTATTCAAGAGAGTCTATTCGATTGGCTTTCAAAAGCCAATAGAATAAAAGGGAGCAGCACAGCTAAGGAAAAGGGGGGAAAAAATGGCGGACTGCGTTGTTTGGCGACCCCCGTGAAATGGTCGTTCGACCCCAAATGGGGTCCCGATCCACAGGTTAAGAACCACTGGTCCAAAGTGACTTAATGACCATTTTTCATACTGATATGACCGTTGCAGCATCCCCAGGGTCGAAGTTCAAAACTGGGCCACTGACTCGTATTTACGACGGTCAGGTGATCCCCTTTGGCGACCTTTTGACAAGCCAGCTTGTCGAGGAAGCCAAATTCACTTAACAGCCGTGTTACTAACTTGATTCAACTTAACAACGGCGGCGACCCGGGTCGTAAAATGAGGCAAAACTCACAACATTTCTCATTTAGCGACATGAATTTTGGGCTCCGTTGTGACCGTAAGTCAAGGACCGCCTGTACTGCGGAAAACACCGAATTAGGAGAGCCCAGATTTGAAATCAAAGGCTTTAAATCTCAAACCTGGTGGCAGTCTAGGAAGCGCTCCTGATGAGGCAGGCTGTCCATCTGGGGTGGGAGCTTTCCATCTCGTTGAGCAATTGGCCGGAATCTCGGAACTTTGAGGGCAATTATTCCCTTTCTCGTACTTGGGGACCACGATCAAGTCAACGTTGGCCATCTGTGTGGTGGCCTTGCAGGCTGCCTCCTCATCCCCCCCGCCCCTTTTCTCCACTCTTCTCAAGATGGACACTGTTCCCCATCAACCAAAGGCCTTGGGAAGCCGGGGGGGGAGAGGGGGGGGAGCTCCTTAGTGCAACCTGAAAAGATGTCCCCCTTGCAGACTTTAAGGTCAAAAGGTTGGCTTCCTTCCGAAGTCTCCACGAAAAATAAGACCCAACTGGAAAATAAGCCCTATCACAAATTTTCAGGACACTCATAATAATGAATAGGATAGGATAGGGTAAGATAGAAAATGGAATAGTGAATAGACTAGACTAGACTAGACTAGACTAGAATAGAATAGAATAGAATAGAATAATTAGATTGAATAGAATAAAATAGGGAATAGAATAAACTAGAATAGAATAGAAATAAGAATAAACTAGAATCGAAATAAGAATAGAATAGAATAATTAGATTGAATAGAATAGAATAGAATAATTAGAATAGAATAGAATAGGAAATAGAATAGGGAATAGAATAGACTAGAATAGAATAGAAATAAGAATAGAATAGAATAGAAATAAGAATAGAATAGAATAGAAATAAGAATAGAATAGGATAGAATAATTAGATTGAATAGAATAGAATTAGAATAGAATAGAATAATTAGAATATTTAGAATGAATAGAATAGAATTAGAATAGAATAGAATAATTTAAACAATAGAATAGAACAGAAATAAGAATAGAATAGAATAATTAAATAGAATAGAATTAGAATAGAATAATTAGAATAGAATAAGAATAAGAATAGAATAGAATAATTAGAATGAATAGAATAATTTAGAATAGAATAGAATAGGGATAGAATAGAATAGAACAGAATTTAGAATAAAACAGAATGGAACAGAACAGAACCTTGGAGGTCTTCTAGTCCAGCCCCCTGCTCAAGCAGGAGAAGCCCCCCCCCAAATAAGCCCCAGTTAAGATCATCAACCAGACAGATGCATTTAGTACCGTATTTCCCTGAACGTAATCCCTAAACCAGAAATTAAGCCCTAATGTGTCTTTTGGAGCAAAAATCAATCTAAGAACCGGTCTTATTTTCCGGGAAACGTGATAAACCATCTTGCTATCTGGGAGAATCCAGATAAACCCTTGATTCAACGTGCCAGAGAAGCCAGCCAGGTGAAGAAAGACCTGAAGCTTGCAGAGCCCCGGAAATCTTGCAGAAATCTCAAGGCCCTTCAACCTGTTTTTTTTTTCCCCTTCCCTTTTCTTTTACAGGGCATCAGTGTTATTTTTAACGTTGCCCTTGGATTGTTAAAAGTGAGTATTTCCTGTCCTGTGCTGGGTCACATCCTTCCTGCCTCCTTGCTCAGCCACGGGGCAGGGCACGCCGAGCCGAGCCGGCTGGAATTTGAATTCCTTGGGGATTGAATTCATTTTCAGCCTCAAGCCGAAGGAGCTGCCACGAGGACGGAGGGCTGGGGGAGGCTGGGAAGCATGGGCCTGCTGATATTCATAGGACGCCCCTCCCTTGCTCCGGGTCCTTTTTTTCCTGACCTGCGGGTTGCCGGAAAGAATTGGGGGTCCCGAACCGAATCAGGAGAGGCATGGGGCGGAGGAGAGGCTGAAATTGGCTCACAGATCTTCTGCAAAGAAAAGGCCAGGCAGAAATCTCCCTTCCACCCCCCACCCAACCAAAAAAGACATTTCCACCTCTTATTTTCCCTGCTCTGCTTCTTGTGGGGCTCACGCATCACAGATAGTCCGGTTAAGTTCATTCGGGGACCAAACTTAACAACGGCACTGGAAAAAAGCAACTTACGACCGTTTTTTTCACGCTTACGACGACCGTTGCGGCCTCCCCGGGGGGGTCATGTGACCAAAATCCAGCCACTTGGCCACTGGCTTGTGTGTGTGTGTGTGTGTGTGTCGTGATCCCCTTTTGCGGCCTTCAAACAAGCAAAGTCAATGGGTGTAAGGACCCACCCCACTTTACATCTTAAAAAGACAGAAGTCTTGAGATATCTCTTCCAACAGGCATCCTTTATTAAGAGAAGATGGTTGCAGGCGTTCTAGACAGGATCTGAGGGGCCAAGCCCCACCATTCAAGGTTTTAAGTGGTCCCAAGCAGCCCCCACCCCACCCCACCATCCTTCCACCAACGATCCCAGGCGTCACATTTCCACCCCCTTTTTCCTTGCTGCCGGCAGAAGAGAGACTTCAGAGAGTAGTAGATGAAAGGCGATGGCCATATTGTTATGGTCAGTCCTCTTGATGAGAATCAACCTCCAGTCCTTTGTAGTTGAAATGAAGGAAGTGAGAGTCATAAAACCCCTTGCTCCTTCCTCCCCTTTCGTAGTATGACCGAATCCACCAAGAGTAAGAAATGGGTCTTTTTTTAGAGTCGGTAGCTAGACGAGATCAACCCCGACTGCTGTTTAGAAGGCCAGATCCTGAAGTTGAAACTCAAATACTTTGGCCACCTAATGAGAAGGAAGGACTCACTGGAGAAGGGCCTGATGCTGGGAAAGATGGAGGGCAAGAGAAGAAGGGGACGACAGAGAAGGAGGTGGCTGGATGGAGTCCCTGAAGCAGGAGGTGTGAACTTAAATGGACTCCAGAAGATGGCAGAGGACAGGAAGACCTGGAGGAACGTTGTCCATGGGGTCGCGATGGGTCGGACACGACTTCGCAATTAACAACAACAACAAAGCTAGAATTAAAACGTAATTGGATTCTGACAATGGGGAAGCTGGCTTTGTTGAACGACTACGTCCCTCACTTAAAAAAACTGCAGGGATTCAGGTGAAACTAGTGGAAAAACCACAATACTTACATCAGAAGACAAGACCACGAAGGGTTGGAGAAAACAGGTTTTATTTGTGCAAAGGTTCAGAGTACTCATATGACAAATTCTGAACCCTGAGTTACTCCCAGGATGTCCTTTTTATACACGCTTTTACTCAAGGGATGACTTCTTTATCTACTTTTAACATACTAAAAGAGAGAAGTTCATATCTTGAGACCACACACGTAGGAAAAGGAGACGTTCACACAAATGACCGTCTTACCACACGGCCCGACACGGGTAATACTTTACACCATTTGTGACTTTCAGTTGACACGTCTTGTAAAATGTTTCCTTCGCAGAATTGCATGCAGGTCATCACACTCAGCCAGTTGGTAATATTAGTTAATGCTTTCGAAACATCACTCCTGTTAATTAAAAATATCATTCAGAAGTACTTTTATCATTTCTCTTAATGGCAATTTTTCATCTACCTCAAAACAACAGGGGCAAAAAAAAAAAAGGGTCCTCAGACGCGGCCGAATTCACTTAGCAACATAAACGTCCATCTCGGCTGCGGTCGTAAGCCGAGGATTCCCTGTATAATCCGGGAAAGGCGCGCAAGGCGTATAACAAGGGCCAAATTCCTGTCCGGGCCCACCCTTTGAGGGAGGGCGTATGGTGCTCCTTGCCTGGTTCTGGGTTCGAGGGTGGGGGGAGCTGAAGGGTTTAATTTCTCCCCTCCCCCTTGCGTGTTCCTAGACCACCAGGGACGACTTGCTGCTGACGGACTTTGAGGGGGCTTTGAAGTTTTTCCGCGTGCAGCTGCCCAAGAGGTATCGGTCGGAGGAGAACGCCAAGAAACTGATGGAGCTGGCATGTAGCATGAAGGTAACTGGGGGGGGGGGAATCAGCCAGCCCCTGGGGGGGGAGGCACGGTGGCTGTTGGGGGGCTGAGCTGCTGGCTGGGTCAGCCTTCTCTTGCCCTGGGTCAGCTCTGGAAGTAAGCCAGGATAGGCGAGGCAAAGGCAGGGACAGGCCCACTTTGCAAAGGGTTGAAACGTGTGAAGGTGACCTGAATGCAGGACTGGGAAAAAGGAGGGCTGAGGGCATCTGGGGACACCTAGATTTCTCAAGGCAGTCTATTTCACCAGCCCTAGTTGAGGTTTCTTTCTTTCCTTCCTTCCTTCCTTTCTCCCTCCTTTCCTTCCTTCCTTCATTCACGCATTCATTCATATCTCCCTCCTTCCTTCCTTCTTTCCTTCCTCTTCCTCTTCCTTCATCCTTTATCCCTCCCTCCTTTCCTTCCTTCCTTCCTTCATATATCTCCTTCCTTCCTTCCTTCATGCATTCATTCATATCTCCTTCCTTCCTTCATCCTTCCTCCCTCCCTCCCTTCCTTCCTTTTCCTTCATCCTTTCTCCCTCCCTCCCTCCCTTCCTATCTTCTTCCTTCCTTCCTTCCTTCCTTCCTTCCTTCATATCTCCCTCCTTCCTTTCCTTCCTTCCTTCCTTCCTTCCTTTCTTCCTATCTTTCCTACCTTCATTCATTCATTCATTCATGCATTCATTTATATCTCCCTCCTTCCTTCCTTCCTTCCTTCATTTATATCTCCCTCCTTCCTTCCTTCCTTCCCTCCTCTTCTTTCACCCTTTCTCCCTCCCTCCTTTCCTATCTTCTTCCTTCCTTCCTTCCTTCCTTCCTTCCTTCCTTCCTTCCTTCCTTCATTCATTCATATCTCCCTCCTTCCTTTCCTTCCTTCCTTCCTTCCTTCATCCTTCCTCCCTCCCTCCCTCCCTTCCTTCCTTTTCCTTCATCCTTTCTCCTCCCTCCCTCCCTTCCTATCTTCTTCCTTCCTTCCTTCCTTCCTTCATTCATATCTCCTTCCTTCCTTCCTTCCTTCCTTCCTTCCTTCCTTCCTTCCTTTCTTCCTATCTTTTCTACCTTCATTCATTCATTCATGCATTCATTCATAACTCCCTCCTTCCTTCCTTCCTTCCTTCATTTATATCTCCCTCCTTCCTTCCTTCCTTCCCTCCTCTTCTTTCACCCTTTCTCCCTCCCTCCTTTCCTATCTTCTTCCTTCCTTCCTTCCTTCCTTCCTTCATTCATATCTCCCTCCTTCCTTTCCTTCCTTCCTTCCTAGCTCCTCCCTCCCTCCCTCTCTCTCTTTGATGTAGTGTTCTTTTTGGTGGACTGTTAAAAAAAAAAAAGGCATTTAATGAGATCTTAATTTCTCTCCCAGGGGGTTGCTTGCCTTCCCTTTGAGGCTCCCTGGGTGTTTCTCAACTTTTAAGACAACGGCTGGGGAATTCTGGGAGTTGAAGTCCTCTGGGTTTAAAGTTCCCATAGTTGAGAACCGCTGGTCTGTCTCTCCGATCCATCCCCTTTGGCTGCCTTACGCTGGAAGGCAGAAGGCGGAATTTGCCCCTTTTGCCTCTTTCTCTTTGTGGGTACACACACACACACACACACACATACACACACACACACACACACACACACACACACACACACAAGCTCCTGGACAGCTCTTCTGCCTCAGGGTCACTAGAGGGAGCACCAGGACCAGCTTAACAAAATTCACACAACCCTTTTTTTCTGACCCTGCTTCGGCATCTCTGCAGCCAGGAGGAGGCAAGGTGGGACCCAATCCTGCAATCCCTGGGTGCTCCCTTGGCTTTCAAATCTTCAGCAACCTTAGCAGGCAAAAAGATTTTAGGAGAAAAAACTTTCTCCTCCTAACAATACTAGATCAGCACAGGTATAGTATAGGGGGTACCTGGCTCAATAGTAGCAACTGTGAGAGGGATCTTGGAGTCCTAGTGGACAATCCCTTAAATAGGAGCCAGCCGTGTGCTGCAGCTGCCGAAAAAGCCAACACAGTGCTGGGCTGCATTAACAGAGGGATAGAATCAAGATCACGTGAAGTGTTAATACCGCTTTACAATGCCTTGGTAAGGCCACACTTGGAATACTGCATCCAGTTTTGGTCACCACGATGTAAAAAAATGTTGAGACTCTAGAAAGAGTACAGAGAAGAGCAACAAAGATGATTAGGGGACTGGAGGCTAAAACATATAAGGAATGGTTGATAGAATTGGGTATGTCTAGTTTAACGAAGAGAAGGACAAGGGGGGACATGATAGCAGTATTCCAATATCTCAGGGCTGCCATAAAGAAGAGGGAATTAAGCTATTTTCCAAAGCACCTGAAGGCAGGACAAGAAGCAACGGGTGGAAACTAATCAAGGAGAGAAGCAACCTAGAACTAAGGAGAAACTTCCTGACAGTGAGAACAATTAATCAGTGGAACAGCCTGCCTCCAGAAGCAGTAAATGCTCCAACACTGGAAGTTTTTAAGAAGAGACTGGACAGCATTTGTCCGAAATGGTGTAGGGTTTCCTGCCTGAGCAGGGGGTTGGACTAGATGACCTCCAAGGTCCCTTCCAACTTTACTACTATTACTATTACTCTGGGGCAGGAAGAACATTGAGCTTTTCTGATGACATTTGTGACATTAAGTGTCCATTTCAGGTCTTGAGATATTCTAGAACCCAGAAACCTGAAGATCTTTTAATTTTAATAATTTAATAATAATAAAGTTGGAAGGGACCTTGGAGGTCATCGAATCCAACCCCCTGCTCAGGCAGGAAACCTTACACCATTTTGGACAAATGGCTGTCCAGTCTTTTCTTCAAAACTTCCAGCGTTGGAGCATTCACAACTTCTGGAGGCAGGTTGTTCCACTGGTTAATTGTTCTAACTGTCAGGAAGTTTCTCCTTAGTTCCAGGTTGCTTCTCTCCTTGATGAGTTTCCATCCGTCGCTTCTTGTCCTGCCTTCAGGCGCTTTGGAGAATAGCTTGACTCCCTCTTCTTTGGGGCAGCCCTGAGATACTGGAACACTGCTATCCTGTCCCCTCTCGTCCTTCTCTTTGTTAAACTGGACATACCCAATTCCAGCAACCGTTCCTTATATGTTTTAGCCTCCAGTCCCCTAATCATCTTTGTTGCTCTTCTCTGTCCTCTTTCTAGAGTCTCAGCATCTTTTTTTACATCGTGGTGACCAAAACTGGATGCCGTATTCCACGTGTGGCCTTACCAAGGCCTTGTAAAGCAGTATTAACCCTTCACGTGACCTTGATTCTCTCCCTCTGTTCATGCAGCCCAGCACTGTGTTGGCCTTTTTTGGCAGCTGCAGCACACGGCTGGCTCCAATGAAGAATTCTCTCCCATTTTGTCCAAACTGACGAAGCTCTAATATGTGGTGTTTTTTTTTTTTAAGATTAGCCAAAAGAAGTTGAAGAAATACGAGCGGGAATATCACACGATGCGGGAACAGCAAGCCCAACAGGAGGACCCCATTGAAAGGTTTGAGGTGAGCCTCTCCTGGTGTGTGCAGACTAGACAAAGACACAAAGCCGGATCCAGACGGAACCTTATTATTCCCCCTCGCAAAATAAATCAATTTCTTGGCAACAACAAAAAAAAGCCAAGATTCTGGCCTTGAGTCATTCCACACTTGCCCGATTATCTCTTCTTCTCTTTATCTTTCTGACCTTGTTGGTTTTTGTTTTTTTTCTTCTTTCTCCTCCTCTTGTTCAAAGCTGAGTGGGCCTCACTCCGATGGCCTCTAAAACCCAAAACACCCAGAGCTATTTTTGCAGATTCGGTCTCCCTTCACAGACGCCCCCGGAGTTTGCCCAGGGCTGTCTTCAGCTGCTGTTTTTAATGCCTTTTAATTTATCTTCTTTTTGTCACCGAAAGCAGGGACAGGCTAGCCCCGGGGGAGTCCCCGTTCTTAATTTGGGCCCAAATCTTAACTGCATTGATGATGAGGGCCCGTTCCAGAAGGATGAGGGTGGCCTCGGGCCGGGGTTCACGCAGCCTGCCCCTTCTGGCCTCCTTGCAGAGAGAAAACCGGCGCTTGCAGGAAGCCAACATGAGGCTGGAGCAGGAGAACGACGACCTGGCCCACGAGTTGGTGACCAGCAAGATCGCCCTGCGGAAGGACCTGGACAACGTGAGTCCTTCTCGCCCACTGCCGGGGGGGGGGGGTGTCAACCTTTTTAGTACACCTCGACTCTTCTGGCTGATGTGCTTATCCAGTCCTTTATTTTCCTTTTATTCTGCTGTTCTCTCCTCCTCCTCCTTCCTGTTCTACTTTTTCTTCCTCTCCTCCTCTTTCTTTCCTTTTTGTGTCTTTCCTTTTCTTTCTCTTTCTTTCTTCTCTTTCCTCCTCCTTCTTTCTTTCTTTCTTTCTTTCTTTCTTTCTTTTTCTTTCCTCCTCTTCTCTTTCTTTCTCTTTCCTCCTCTTCTTTTTTCTTTCTTTCCTTTCTTTTTCCCTCCTTTCTCTTTCTCTCTTTCCTCCTCTTCCTCTTTCTTTCTTTCTTTTTTCTTTCCTCCTTTCTTTTTCATCCTCTTCTTTCTTTCTTTCCTCTTTCTTTCCTCTCTTCTCTTTCTTCCCTCCTTTCTTTCTTTCTCTTTCTTTCTCTCTTTCCTTCTTTCTGTCTCTTCTTTCCTCCTTTCATTCTTTCCTCTTCTTTTTTCTTTCTTCCTTCCTTCTTTCCTCCTCCTTTCTTTCTTTCTTTCTTTCTTTTTTCCTTTCTTTCTTCTTTTCTCCTTTCATTCTTTCCTCTTCTTTCTTTCTTTTTCCTCCTCTTTTCTTTCTTTCTTTCTTTCTTTTTCTTTCTTTCTCTTTCCTCCTTCTTTCTTTCTTTCCTCTCTTCTTTCTTTCTTTCTTTCTTTCTTTCTTTCTCTTTCCTTCTTTCTTTCTCTTCTTTCCTCCTTTCATTCTTTCCTCTTCTTTCTTCCTTCTTTCTTCCTCCTTTCTTTCTTTCCTCCTTTCTTTCTTCTTTCCTCTTTTCATTCTTTCCTCTTCTCTTTCTTTCTTTCTTTTTTTTCCTTCCTTCCTTCCTTCCTTCCTTCCTTCCTTCCTTCCTCCTCCCCCCTTACCGAAGGTACATCTCAGATGCCTCTGAGACTCGCACACCTCCCCGGAAGCAAAACTTCCCAGTTGAAGCCTCCTTGGATGAAAATCCATTTTCTTTAAAGCTTTCCACCAATTTGGCAGCCGATCCTGGGCATCGGCTCAGCTCTTCCGGGGCCGTCTCCTAAATCCTCACACTCTCTTGGCTGGGCTGCTTCAGTTCCCCAGCTGGCCCGGCCCTGCCCTGGTGGTGTGCCAGTGCCTGACATCAGCACACCCAGAACGGAAAGCTCCATCCTCCCACAGTCCGAACCTTCCCCAAACGGGAGCACAAGTCTCGGGAAAGGTTAGATGCGGGAGGAGAAAAATCCTCCTGCTTTATCATTCCGACAGACGACACTCCGATTGCCGCTCTCCCCCTTGGCCACGATTAAGCTTCGTGTCTTGTCATCCTCATAACACCCCCAGAACACCGGAGCTGTCGCATTTCAGGTCATTGCGACATCGTTCCCGCTGGTTTCCTGGGGCAGAACGCCTGCAAGGAGACAGGACGTTTTCACACAGGCAAACCGGCTGTAGGCTAGAGGCATCTTGGCAACTCCGAGACCCACGTAATTCTTCTCCAAGGATCCAGCCTGCTGCTTTCTCCGCTCTCCGTTACCTTAAAACAGTGGTTCTCAGCCTTTTTAATGCCGCGACCCCCCAACCGGTCATAAGTTGAGGACTACTCAACCGGTCGTAAGTCGAGGACTACTCAACTGGTGCAGCACCGTTTGCAGAATGAGACTTTGGGTGGGCTCAGCAGGGCAGAGACAGCCTGGACAATTCCTATTGGCTTTTGAAAGCCAACAGAATTAGACTCTATTCAAGAGAGTCTATTCTATTGGCTTTCAAAAGCCAATAGAATAAAAGGGAGTAGCACAGCTAAGGAAAAGGGGGGAGAAAATGGCGGACTGCATTGTTTGGCGACCCCCGTGAAATGGTCGTTCGACCCCAAATGGGGTCCCGACCCACAGGTTGAGAACCGCTGCCTTAAAACCTTCCCTTCGAGCGCAGGGACCCCAAACCCCAAGCCAGGCTCTTTCAAACTTTCCCCTTCTGGCTTCCTCCCTTGCTCGCCTTCGGATGGAACGTCTGGTTAAGAGCCGAGCGAAAAAGTTTTCCCGTGTCTCTCTGGGTCCGGTCATTTTGTCCCTCGGTGTTTCCCATTTCCAGGCGGAGGAAAAAGCCGACGCCTTGAACAAGGAGCTGCTGATGACCAAGCAGAAGTTGATAGACGCCGAGGATGAGAAGAGAAGGCTGGAGGAGGAATCGGCTCAGGTTGGCGCAGGATCGGGCCGGAAGGGAGCTGGGGAGGTAGGAGGGAAGGGGGTTCCTTCTGGTTTCAGGCGACCCCTCCCACGAGCACGTTCAGCACCCGCTAACCGAGAATCGGTTGACCCGCTTTGTCCTTCACCCTCAGCTCTGGTCTGGGCTGGTTTTCTGTAGCTATTTATCCCCATCATCGCCTTCCCCCCCCCCCTTTGGAGCAGCAGCTTCCAACTTTTTGGGCACCAGAGACCGGTTCCATGGAGAAAGTTTTTTCCGTGGACCGGAGGCGGTGTGGTTTTGCGTGCTGCCTGCATCCCCATGGATGGATGGATGGGGCTTTGCTTATTTGCACGGCCCGCTTGTTGGCATGCTGCGGACCGGTGCGGGGCCACAGACTGGGGGTTGGGGACCCCTGCATCAGAGAGTCCCCGAAGAGTATCTCCTTGCCCCAAGTTCTCCACATCGCCAAGACTGGCCTCTCTGCTGCTTTCTCTTGTGACTTGTGTCCCCCCACCAGAGGCTTTTGGAGTTAGAATAGAAAGAATAGGAGTAGAGTAGAGTAGAGTAGAATAGAATAGAATAGAATAGAATAGAATAGAATAGAATAGAATAGAATAGAATAGAATAGAATAGAATAGAATAGAATAGAATAAGAAATAAGAATAGAATAGAATAGATTGTGGAATAGAATGGAATAGGAATAGGAAAATAACAGAACAGAGAATAGAATAGAATAGAATAGAATAGAATAGAATAGAATAGAATAGAATAGAATGTAGAATAGAATAGAATATGGAAATGGAACGGAATAGAATATAGAATATAGAGAATAGAATAGAGTAGAATAGAATAGAATAGAATAGAATAGAATAGAATAGAATAGAATAGAATAGAATAGAAAATATGGAATGGAATGGAACGGGAGTGGAATAGAGTAGAGTAGAATAGAATGGAATAGAATAGAATAGAATAGAATAGAATAGAATAGAATAGAATAGAATAGAATAGAATGTAGAATAGAATAGAATATGGAAATGGAACGGAATAGAATATAGAATATAGAGAATAGAATAGAGTAGAATAGAATAGAATAGAATAGAATAGAATAGAATAGAATAGAATAGAATAGAATAGAATAGAAAATATGGAATGGAATGGAACGGGAGTGGAATAGAGTAGAGTAGAATAGAATGGAATAGAATAGAATAGAATAGAATAGAATAGAATAGAATAGAATAGAATAGAATAAAAAATAGAATAAAGAATAGAATAGAATAGAATGTAGAAAAATAGAATAGAATAGAATAGAATAGAATAGAATATATGGAATGGAACAGAACAGAACAACAGAACAGAACAGAATAGCAGAGATGGAAGGGACCTTGGAGGTCTTCTAGTCCAGCCCCTGCTCAAGCAGGAGAACCTACACCGTCTCAGACAGGTGGGTGTCTAGTCTGGAGCTGAGAGAGAGGAAAGGGCTGAGGCCAGAGACCCTGCTGGAGGGATGAACGAAGGGCCAGACTTTCCCGTCTCCTCTTCCAGCTGAAGGAGATGTGTCGGAGAGAACTGGACAAGGCCGAGTTGGAGATCAAGAAAAACAGCTCCATCATTGGCGACTACAAGCAGGTATGTCGGAGGACGCTGTTCCGAAGCAACCCTGGGATCCGTCTCCCTCGGGCCAGGACAGCTCCACCGCCTTCCTTCTGACCCAGAACCGGAGGGAGGCGTCCTGTCGTTTCATCTCAAAAAGGGAAGCGGAAGAGGGTTGCCCTCAAATTGACAGAGTGGGGAGGGACCTTGGAGGTCATCTAGTCCAACCCCCTTGCTCAAGCCGGAGACCCTTACAGAATCATAGAATGACAGAGTTGGGAGGGACCCTGGAGGTCATCTAGTCCAACCTCCTGCGCAAGCAGAATCATAGAATGACAGAGTTGGGAGGGACCTTGGAGGTCATCTAGTCCAACCCCCTGCTCAAGCAGAATCATAGAATGACAGTGTTGGGAGGGACCTTGGAGGTCATCTAGTCCAACCCCCTGCTCAAGCCGGAGATCCTTACAGAATCATAGAATGACAGAGTTGGGAGGGACCTTGGAGGTCATCTAGGAGGTCATCTAGTCCAACCTCCTGCGCAAGCAGAATCATAGAATGACAGAGTTGGGAGGGACCTTGGAGGTCATCTAGTCCAACCCCCTGCTCAAGCAGAATCATAGAATGACAGTGTTGGGAGGGACCTTGGAGGTCATCTAGTCCAACCCCCTGCTCAAGCCGGAGATCCTTACAGAATCATAGAATGACAGAGTTGGGAGGGACCTTGGAGGTCATCTAGTCCAACCCCCTGCTCAAGCAGAATCATAGAATGACAGAGTTGGGAGGGACCTTGGAGGTCATCTAGTCCAACCCCCTGCTCAAGCAGAATCATAGAATGACAGAGTTGGGAGGGACCTTGGAGGTCATCTAGTCCAACCCCTCTGGTCGAGCAGGAGACCCTATATCATTCCAGACAAATGAATGTCCAATCTCTTCTGAAAAGCCTCCAGGGATGGAACATCACTGATCAGAATAAAAAAAAAAAAAAGACGACGATCAAGCTTCACCCTCTGCGAGGAAGAGAAACCAGTTATTTTGGTTTCTTAGCGTTAAGACCTAAAGCAAGACCGGCTCAGAAAGCCTTGGGCCAGCGGCTAAGAAACGGCAGAGAGCAGTTGCAAATCCGCTGCCCCTCGATGTGGGGCAGGCCCTTGGGGCACGAGCGCGTAGAAGCCAAGAGAGATTTGGGGGCGAAGTCCAGCAAGGACGAGTGGCCGGCCTGGGGGGTGGTGGTGGTGAGAAGCCCTATCTGAGCTAGCCAAGCTCTGCTGACCGATCCAGTTTGCCTTGCAGATCTGCTCCCAGTTGAGTGAGAGGCTGGAGAAGCAGCAGGTAGCCAACAAAGCTGAAATTGAGAAAATCCGGGTAAGTAGAGGCACAGAAGAGCGGGGGTGGGAGGGGCAGAGGCTGAGCTGAGCACCGCCTGGAGGGCAGCCTTCCCGATTCCCTGCCTCGGGGGGGGGGCAGATTCCAGAAGATCTCATGAACGCTTTCCAAAATCCCGTTTGGTCCCTGCTTCGCTCAAGGAAGGTTGCAGAAAGAGAGAGACATCAAATTTTCAACTTGCAGCCTTCAGACTCAACAAACTGGCTTTGCAGTTATTTTTTTGTAGTTGGGGAGGTGGGTGGGGGTGGCAAGCAAGTTACAGGCCCTTTCAGCTGTTGCCAGCCAGCCGGGCTGCTCACGGAAGCAGCCAGTCCGTCCGAGGGCAGTTAAGAGAACTGTGGTGGCAAAAGTGGTTAGAGTGCAGTACTGCAGGCAATTTCTGCTGACTGCCAACTGTCACCAGTTCGATCCTGACCGGTTCCAGGTTGACTCGGCCTTCCATCCTTCCGAGGTTGGTAAAATGAGGACTCAGATTGTTGGGGGACAACAGGATGACTCTGTAAACTGCTTAGAGAGGGCTGTAAAGCACTGAAGCAGTATATAAGTTTAAGGGCTATTACTGCCTCTGCCTGCCTGCCTGCCTGCCTGCCTATCTGTCTGTCTGTCTGTCTGTCTATCTATCTATCTATCTATCTATCTATCTATCTATCTATCTATCTATCTATCTATCTATCTATCTATCTATCTATCTATCTATCACCCATGTGTCATCTATCTATCATCTATGTGTCAGTCATATCTATTATCTATCTAATCTATGTTTATCATATCTATATGCCTGTATCTATCTAGCTATCTATCTATTTATGTCTATCAGTCCTATCTATCTTATATTTATCTGTCTATCATATCTATCTATATTATCTCTTATATCTATCTAATCTATCATATCTACATCTATGTCAGTCTATCTGTATCTATCATCCATCTATCTTATGTATCATCTATTTATCGTCTGTCTGTCTGTCTTGTCTGTCTGTCTGCCTATCTATCTATCTATATATCTATCTATCTATCTATCTATCTATCTATCTATCATCTGCCACAGTAGCTCTGAGGCTAGAATGTAATATTGCAGGCTAATTGGGCTCACAGCCAGGGGTTAGATCCTGTGGGGCTCAAGGTTGACTCGGCCTTCCATCCTTCTGAGGTTGGTAAAATGAGGACCCAGATTGTTGGGGGCAAATATGCTGACTCTAAACCACTTAGAGAGGGCTGTAAAGCGCTGTGAAGCGGTCTATAAGTCCAAGTCTTATTGCTATTGCTCACCGTCCGCCCTTCTTGCCTGCAGCAAAAAATCGACAACTGTGAACATTGTCGGGAGTTTTTCAACAAAGAAGGGCGGCTGAAGGTGGTCAGCATCCCCAGGGAGGGCTCCGACGAAGACACCGACGAGGAGAAGGAGGGGCTGAAGAACCAGTTACGAGAAATGGAGTTGGAGCTGGCCCAGACCAAGTTGCAACTGGTGGAGGCCGAATGCAAAATCCAGGTGAGGAAGGCCCGGCAGCCGGGGCTACGCTCAGCCAGAGCTTCTGCCTCCGTGGGAATTGTACGCCGGCGAGGGTCGGATCTCTCTTTTCCGACGGAATTCCTTAGTTGGGCCTTGAGAACGAAGGCTGGAGACTTTCTCGGAACGGGATATCTGGCTTTGAAGCCTTTTCCCTCTCTGCCATCTTGGAGTGGGTGCCCGCAGGAGGACGCAGGCCGATGAGAGACCATCCTTGGTCCGGCTTAGCCAATTTCCCCCGGGTGCCTGCAATTCCATTTTTGCACTCCAAACCCGGAGACCTTTACGAACCCTTTGCCCTCTGGGCTCGAAATTAACGGGCGGCTGGCCTTCTCAAACTTTTGAAGCTACCTAAGTCACCTCTAAGATGGGTGGCACAATAATCACATCAGCGAATTGACTCGCTGAACAGAGGCGATCTGCAAGCGTGCAGATCTGCTCTCTTAAGCCAGGCGGCGGCGGAGGCTGTTCAGATGTCCTCGGTGTCCCCGTTTCACGACCCCGGGACAGGTCAGGCATCCTCGCGCCCCTTTTTACGCCCTCGCTCACCCCGTCTCGTTACCTTGCAGGACCTGGAACACGACCTGGGACAGGCGCTAAACGAGGTGCAGGCCTCGCGCAAAACCTGGTTCAACCGAACGCTCAGCTCTATAAAGACAGTGACCGGCGTCCAGGGGAAAGAGACGTGCTGAAGAGCTGGGCAGCAACTTCGGGGCAGCTCCCGGGGCCTCTCCTGGGATACCTCCCGCCTTCCAGACCTTGTCTTGACCAGCTGCCCGCAGGAGAGAGGACCAGATGTACATAGGACTCCCGAAACACACACCGCGAGGCGGCTGGTTCTCCTCTCCCCCCCCCCTCACAGGCCGGAGACCCAAGCCAGAGACGCCGCTTGGCGCGAGACGCGGGATCTTCATACTACTGATTATTTAACCGGGGAGGGGGCTGGGGGGGGGATGTAGCTATAGACCGATGCTTTTTTTTTTCCCCTTTCTTTTCCCAGAGAACAATAATCCGCTCCATTCTGCAGTCCGTTGGGAGGCACTAGGTACGAAAAAAGAAATATATTGCCACCCTCTTCCTGACTTAACCGAATTTACAAACGAGCGCTTTTCTGGTTTTTTTTTTTTACAGTGACAACTTTAAAAAAAAAAAAAGATTTAATTTGAGAGGAACAAAAGGACAAAACAAAAAAAAAACCACGACACAGACACCGCCGGACGCTCTTTTAACGAACAGTTCGAGCGCGCGAGCGAAAGGTTTCCCCCCCCCCCCGCTCCTTCCAAGTTAGGAGACTGCTTGCATGGTTAACTTTTGGAAAGGGGACTCACAAAGCCCCCCCCTCCCCCATGTTTGTGTGTCCCTGCCTCCCCCTCCTCTCTTTGTACAGCGCTGACACCAATAACTTCTATGCAACTCGGCGGGGTGGGGGCTTCTTAAGGCAAGCTCCTTGCCTCCCCCCCCGAACAAAAGCTGAGATTCAACACCACCGTTTTATCGGGAAGGGGGGGTGTCTGTTTTATACATACACACAAACACGTGTGGCTCGTGTTGTGAGAGCTCACGACGCCCCCCCCCCTTGAGCTTGCTCCGGTCTCCACTTTACTCTTGTGGAAGTCAAGGAAGGCTGAAGCCAGCTCTCCTTTGCCGTTCCGGATTTGGCCCGGATGCATCCTTGACCCAAGAATGGTGGACTTCCGTTTTTTGCTTAATTCTCCGTTTTGGGGTGAGTTTTCTGCCTGCAGAAAGCGGGTGGGAGAGAGACGACGGCCTGGGCAACGGAGGGTGCTTCGTTTTTCACCGCTGCTACTGCTGCTGAACTAACCTCCTGTCCCGGCCCGCTGAGGGCCAGGCTCCACGTTCCCCTTCCCATCCAACACTCCTTAATTTGTAACTACACAAGTAGGTAAGAACGCTACTTTCCATTTCGGAGGGTTTTAGAGCAAGGGGGACTCTCGCCTTGGCAACTGGTGGACTTCAACTCCCAGAATTCCTTAGCCGGCCTCACGCTGCCTGAGGCATTCTGGGAGCTGAAGTCCACAAAGTCTTCAGATTGCCAAGGTGGAAGACCCCTTCGCTTAAGAGCAGGGGGTCTTCAGACTTGGCCCTTTGGTGACTGGTGGACTTCAATTCCCAGAATTCCTTAGCCGGCCTCAAGCTGCCTGAGGCATTCTGGGAGCTGAAGTCCACAAAGTCTTCAGATTGCTAAGGTGGTAGACCCCTCACTTAATAGCAGGGGGTCTTCAGAGTTGGCCCTTTGGTGACTGGTGGACTTCAATTCCCAGAATTCCTTAGCCGGCCTCACGCTGCCTGAGGCATTCTGGGAGCTGAAGTCCACAAAGTCTTCAGATTGCCAAGGTGGGAGACCCCTCGCTTAAGAGCAGGGGGGGGGGGTGTCTTCAAACCTGGCCCTTGGATGACTTGTGGACTTCAACTCCCAGAATTCTGGCTGAGGAATTCTGGGAGTTGAAGTCCACAAGTCATCCAAGGGCCAAGTTTGAAGACCCCCTGCTTGTGGACTTCAACTCCCAGAATTCCTTAGCCGGCCTCACGCTGCCTGAGGCATTCTGGGAGCTGAAGTCCACAAAGTCTTCAAATTGCCACGGTGGAAGACCCCTCGCTTAAGAGCAGGGGGTCTTCAGACTTGGCCTTTGGTGACTGGTGGACTTCAACTCCCAGAATTCTGGCTGAGGAATTCTGGGAGTTGAAGTCCACAAGTCATCCAAGGGCCAAGTTTGAAGACCCCCTGCTTAAGAGTATCCAAACCTCTTCCTCAGAAAAGCTGAAGAACTATTTTTTTTTTTCGGTTTTTTTTTTGGCACCTTTTTAATTTATACTGATTTATCCTATGCTGAACTAGCTTTTATATATATAAATATATATATCAGCAGATCAACTTAACCTGGTGCAGTGTGTGAGCATAGGCTGGTAACCCTGAGAGGCACTGTTTGTATATAAAGATGATTTTTTATTTCCGAGGGGGGTTCTTTTTTTTCACCCTCCTCGACCAGACTAACGCTAGGCGACGACGCAAACTGAGATAAGAGGCGAAGCCAGCCTTGAGCATTCACGACTTCTCCCCATCCCTTAACCGTACACACGAGTATCTTTCCCTGTTGAATAATAACGAGGAAAAAAACAAAAAACAAAACCCATATCGCTGTAACTCCATTGATAATAAACCAAACCAACCAACGCGTGGACCTTGTGGTAGAATAGTTTTGCCGTGTGTAGCATTTTGGATTGATCTATAAACTAGTAAAAAAAAAAAAAAAACGGTCTGGTGGTTTTTATTTCGCCGGAGCAAAATGCAGGAGGGGGCCTGGCCTCGAATTAAGAGGGAAGGTCTCGGTGGCCGGCCTTCGCAGGGGGGTGACGGCAGCAGCTCTCCGGATGTTGGGGAGCAGGCACCCCACTGCAGGTGCTGGGGGTCAGGTCTACATGCAGAGGTGCCCCTGTGCTTGGCTGCTAACAAGGCCTCCAGCACAACCGCCACAGCTGTACTGGAGGGGACAGAATGAGTCAGAAGCCCCTTGGGAGGGATACGCTGGTGGGTGGGTGCTGCACCCCCCTGCCTTCAGCAGAGAGGGGTCCCGGTACGTGTCTCAGGTGGCTGTTAACCCTTGGCATAGTTTTCTCTTTTGGGTTGGGGGCGGAGGGGATACAGCAGACCCAGGAGTTAGCTTGCCATGTGCGCAACGCAAAGAGAAAAGGACTTTTGCAAGAACAGGCAAGTGGCAAGGAGCTGGGTCTGCTGCTCGACCAGGGGGGCTGGGCTAGAAGACCTCCAAGGTCCCTTCCGAGCCTATTCTGGGTGAATTAAAGCTGCCGGAGACTGGAAATGTCGGGGTGAGGCTGTTCTTTTTTTTTTCTCTCCTGGTTTTTCTTCTGGGTGGGGGGGGGGTTGGACTGGGAGACTCCCAGGGTCTCTTCCAACTCCATTCTATTCCATTCCAAGATTCTGTTCCATTCCATGATTCGATTCTATTCCATTCCCAGATTCCAGTCTATTCCAAGATTCAATTCTATTCCATTCCAAGATTCTATTGTATTCCACGATTCTATTCTATTCCAAGATTCTATTCTATTCCATTTCAAGATTCTATTCCATTCCGTGATTCGATTCGATTCCATTCCCAGATTCTATTGTATTCCATGATTCTATTCTATTCCAAGATTCGATTCTATTCAATTCCAAGATTCTATTCTATTCTATTCCAAGATTCTATTCTATTCCATTTCAAGATTCTATTCCATTCCGTGATTCGATTCGATTCCATTCCCAGATTCTATTGTATTCCATGATTCTATTCTATTCCAAGATTCGATTCTATTCCATTCCAAGATTCTATTCTATTCCAAGATTCTATTCTATTCCATTTCAAGATTCTATTCTATTCCATTCTAGATTCAATTCGATTCCATTTCAAGATTCTATTCTATTCCATGATTCAATTCTATTCCATTCCCAGATTCTATTCTATTCCATTTCAAGATTCAATTCTATTCCATTCCAAGATTCTATTCTATTCCAAGATTTTATTGTATTCCATGATTCTATTCTATTCCAAGATTCTATTCCATTCCATTTCAAGATTCCATTCCATTCCAAGATTGTCTTCTATTCCATTCCCAGATTCTATTCTATTCCATGATTCTATTCTAATGTATTTTCTATTCTAATTCTATAATTCCTATTCTGTTCTATTAATTCTAATTCTATTCTTGAATGGGGAGTGGGACGCCCTACGGGGGATTCTGCCCTCAGCTCATTGTCTTTGTCCTCTATGCCCCCTTCCCGAGCCTTGCTCCCTTCTGCCCCCTCCAAGCTGCACCATTTTGGCAGCCTTGAACTCTACCCAATTCCTGCTTCTGTGCCTTCTTCCTTTGTCCCAACGTCTCTCCCCCCCCCCTCTGCGCAGGCAAGCTTCCCCGATCACCACGCTTGGGCTGGAGATGGTGGCCTTTGCCCAAGCCAGCACGTGGCACAGGGCCCTACCCTTTCGGAGCTTTGCTGGGATAGGAGATGGGAAGGGTGGCACGCTGAGCATCTTTTGGCGGTGTAGGCAACACTTTCCGATGGGCAGGAGTGTCTTTGTCCCACCAAGGCCCCTCCTGGCAAGCGGTGCCTGTGCCCGGCATTCCGCAGGGCGCTCTGCCATTGCCAGAGCTGGGGAAAAAAAAAAAACATTTCCAAAGAGCGGGACAGGGTATCTGCAACCCAAACATGAGCTGGCCCCGCAGAGGAAATTTAACAACACCTCTTCGTCCCAGGGCGCTGATTTGCTTAACAACTGGGCAGCAAAAGCTTCTCCTTAATAGCATGCAGATGCTGAAAATACAACTATTACCCTTAACTACTACTCTTACACTTTTCTGCCTGTTCCGGTCATCAATATCCAGAGCTTGTCAGCACTCTGGAATTCGCTGGGAAAAAGTGAGGCATGCGAGTGGAACCTCACCAGATGCAAGAAACAGCTGTCAAACTTGGCTCCAGATTCTATTCTATTCCATTCCAAGATTCTATTCTATTCCATGATTCTATTCTATTCCATTCCAAGATTCTATTCTATTCCAAGATTTTATTCTATTCTATTCCAAGATTCTATTTTATTCCATTCCAAGATTCTATTCTATTCCATGATTCTATTCTATTCCATGATTCTATTCAATTCCAAGATTCTATTCTATTCCATGATTCTATTCTATTCCATGATTCTATTCTAAGATTCTATTCTATTCCATTCCAAGATTCTATTCTATTCCATTCCAAGATTCTATTCTATTCTATTCCAAGATTCTATTCTATTCTATTCCAAGATTCTATTCTATTCTATTCTATTCCATTCCAAGATTCTATTCTATTCTATTCTATTCCAAGATTCTATTCTATTCCAAGATTCTATTCTATTCCATTCCATTCCAAGATTCTATTCTATTCCATTCCAAGATTCTATTCTACAAACCCCAAAGGGAGGATTGGATTGTGCAACGCTCTTTGCAATCGCCAGCCCCACCCCAAAAAACCAGGCCCGAGGTGTGTGGAATTTTCAAGGGATTCTGGTACCAATTATCTGCCAGGTGGAACTGAACTGTAATTTTACTGCCTCTTTTCCTGCTTTAAATGCACCGGGTATTTTGTCTCTGGTCTTAAACCTCCCCCCTCCTTCCACCTTAGCCTTCTGCACAATTCCTTTGCAGCTTATCTACTTACCTTAGGAAGGTGTGAGCTGCAGGTAATTCAAAATCCAAAACAATTCCATTCGTTTTTTCCCCCAAGACTGGCCGCTGTTTTCACTTGGCCTGCCTGCCACCCCCCCCCCCGAGAATGGAACACCCCCCACCTTTTTTCCCTTTTTATTTTCCAAGGGGGGGGGGCTCCAAAAAGCAAAATAATATTTCCCTCTTTGTTGCTTTATAAAAGGGGGGGGAAGGAAAGTAGGGCAGCCAGAAATGTCAGCCCCCCCGCCCCTGTAACCGAGAAAGGAAATTGGGCTTTTGAGTGTAACGTGTTGCAGGAAATAAAAGACATTTTGATGGTTCTCAATCTGGGCTGCTTTTCAGCAAAGCAGACAGCCAAGATTGCAGCGTGGCTCTTTTGGGGGAAGACGCTCCAGGACAGGGTAGACGTGTGGAAGATGTTCTTTGGAATCGAAGCAGCTGCCTTAATTTCCTTCTAAACCAGGGGTCTCCGGCCTTAATAATAATAAAGTTGGAAGGGACCTTGGAGGTCATCTAGTCCAGCCCCCTGCTCAGGCAGGAAACCCTATACCATTTCGGACAAATGGCTGTCCAGTCTCTTCATAATAATAATATAATAATAATAATAAAGTTGGAAGGGACCTTGGAGGTCATCTAGGCCAACCCCCTGCTCAGGCAGGAAACCCTAAACCATTCCAGACAAATGGCTGTCCAGTCTCTTCTTAAAAACTTCCAGTGTTGGAGCCTTCACCGCTTCTGGAGGCAGGGTGTTCCACTGGCTAATTGTTCTGTCAGGAAATTTCTCCTTAGTTCTAGGTTGCTTCTCTCCTTGATGAGTTTCCATCTGCTGCTTTCTTGTCCTGCCTTCGGGTGCTTTGGAGAATAGCTTGACTCCCTCTTCTTTGGGGCTGCCCCTGAGATATTGGAACGCTGCTATCATGAGAAACAACGGTTGGAAGCTGATCAAAGAGAGAAGCAACCTGGAATTAAGGAGAAATTTCCTGACAGTTAGAACAATTAACCAGTGGAACAGCTTGCCACCAGAAATCTGTGGGCGCTCCATCACTGGAGGTTTTTAAGAAGAGGCTAGACAGTCACTTGTCTGAGATGGTTGGTATAGGTTCTTCTTCAGAAGTGGGCTGGATTGGAAGACCTCTAAGGTCCCTTCCAACTTTCTATTCTATTCTATTCTATTCTATTCTATTCCGTTCTAATTCCATTCCATTCCTCTATTCTATTCTATTCTATTCTATTCTATTCTATTCTATTCTATTCTAGTCACCCCTCGTCCTTCTCTTCATTAAACTAGACATTCCCAATTCCAGCAACCGTTCCTTATATGTTTCAGCCTCCAGTCCCCTAATCATCTTTTTTGCTCTTCTTGACAACTTTTAAGGGGCAAATCCAACCAATGAGCTGAGGTGGCGCAGCAGTTAGAGTGCAGTACTGCAGGCCACTTTAGCTGACTGTGTTCAGCAGGTCAGTGGTTCAAATCTCACCAGCTCAAGGTTGACTCAGCCTTCCATCCTTCCGGGGTAGGTAAAATGAGGACCCAGATTGTTGGGGGCAATGTAAAAATATATATACATTGCTTACTGGTGTACACCGCTTAGAGAGTGCTCGCACTTAAAGCGGTATATAAGTCTCCTAAATAAATAAATTCTGGGAGCTGAAGTCCACAGGTCTTATTGTGGCCAAGGTTGAGACAGCCCTATTCTGCACCCTAACCCAAATTAACATCAAGAACGAGCCTAACTTTCGGTAGACCACGACAAAGCCAGCATCTCCTGAGCTGGTGTTCTTCAGTGGATTTTTTTTCTTTATTCTTTACTGGCCACGTGTGACTGGACACCCAAGGGATTTGTCTCCGTTGCATAAACTCTCCATGTACATAGAAGCAACAAGTGATAAAACGTCCGCAATAGGGGGGGAAAAACAGCAAGCGATGTTCTTCCTTCTCAGTCTCAAGCAGATGTGGACAGATGTTGCCTGTGCACACTACCAAATGACTGTGTCCATGGTTCCATTGTTAGACATCCTTAATGAGCCATCCATCTATCATCAAAAACTGCCCACCCCCAGCGACTAGGAACTCACCTGTATTGTTCTGGATGTAGACTTCTTCCATGTTTTAAGCCTCAGCCCCAATCAGACACCAATTTCTATCCTTCTGCGGGATTAAAACCCTTTCCCCCCCCCCCCCCGTTCTTTCTCACCTGCCACCTGTTGATGTGGCCTTAAAGACTCGTTCGAAGAGTCCCCCGTTCAAATCAGCCCCAGGAATTAATTTGTTCTATCGATCGCTGGGCGCCCCGTCGATTTTTTAAAAGCTTTTTAAGGTAGATCTCTGAACGAAAGAAAAAGATCAGCCTATCAGTTGGGAGATCCATTTTTAATTATTGATTGGAAAACATGAATGTCTTAATGGAAAGCATATACAGCAGAATGTCCTCTTCTGTTCTTCAAGCTAACCATGTGTTGGTGGTTCAACCTGGACAGCAAGGAGCACAGGTGGCACCACCACCTTTGTAGAAAACCTGTCTCCCTCCCACCTTCACTTCCATTAGCCAAGGAAGGCATCTCAACGTGAACCAAGAACAAAAAATAGACCTTGGGTCAACTGATGCAAACTTGGTTCCTGGTCCAAATCTCGGACGCCTTTGCCGTGATGGCTGAGAATTCAGGCACACGCCTGCAGAAGCACCACGTTTGGGAAAAAATCAGCTCCGCATGCTCTTCAGACAACTTAAGTCCTATCCTAACTCAACTAGACATTCCTGGGAGACGCCTTTGGAAGCACGGAGCACATTCCTGCCCAGATACCCGTTAAGACTTGCTGATAAACCAAAGACAACGGTAGTTTGGAAAGTCAAGATAAAACCGCCTTGGTCTTTAGCTCAAATAAATAAATACATTCTTCCCCCGCCCCCTCAAAAAAAGTCCGAGAAAGCCTTTTCAGAATCCAACAGGTCCCCTTAAATATTTACATCACATTTTATCAAGAAGAACATGAAGAAGAGAGAGAAAAAAAACAACTGGCATTAAGTACGAAGAGGCTGCAAGGTAGCAAAATGCAGGAACAGAAATATTCTCTAGCGCAGTGGTTCTCAACCTTTTTAATGCCGCGACCCCCAACCGGTCGTAAGTCGAGGACTACTCAACGGGTGCAGCACTGTTTGCAGAATGGGACTTTTGGCGGGCTCAGCAGGGCAGAGACAGCCTGGACAATTCCTACTGGCTTTTGAAAGCCAATAGAATTAGACTCTATTCAAGAGAGTCTATTCTATTAGCTTTCGAAAGCCAATAAAATAAAAGGGAGTAGCACAGCTAAGAAAAGGGGGGGGGGAATGGCAGACTGCGTTGTTTGGCGACCCCCGTGAAATGGTCGTTCGACCCCAAAGGGGGTCCCGACCCACAGGTTGAGAACCGCTGCCTTAAATATTTACATCACATTTCATCGAGAAGAACATGAAGAGAAAAAAAAACAAAACTGGCATCATGTACAAAGAGGTTGCAAGGTAGCAAAATGCAGGAACGGAAATATTCTCTAGCGCTTAGCTCCTCATCCTTCCCGATCTGCCTGCGCAACCTCAGCTTACAGTTTCTGCCTTTCGGCTTATTTTACCTACCAATGTCTCTGGGTGCAGCTATGGGGTGGATGGAAAACTGCAATCGCTGCAAAAATAATCAAGGGTAGAGGCCTACCCCTCTTTTGGTAATAAAAGGCACAGTCTAGGGGCAGCTTCTATCACAGAGTACACACAGGAGCCCATCACAAGGATTCCAGCGCCTCGCTTTCCCCTCCCTGCCGTCTTGCCACGATACTTTCACCTCGTCTTGGGTAGCTGGGCTTCTTTAAGACTATCTCTCGGCTGGATATCCTGGTTACGATTGCTTTAAAAGCCCGTCTCATTCAGGGCATCGTTTGGGCACCTGAGCCCATGCCAGGCGCGCTCTTCAAGCCATTTCCACCGGCAGGAACACGGAGGTTATTTCGCTCCCCGTGTCGGGCTCAGTAACGTCCTGAGCGTTCAGCTAGCTAAGTTCAACTGGGTGGGAGGCTACCACCCGGCCCATAGTGCAAAGCGTAAAGAGGGCATCGGAAGACATCCCCCCCACCCACCCGCTATCGTACATCTATTGCTGTGGTTTTTCAAGAGCCAGGGTGGGGAGGGGGTGTGTGAAGGTGGCCTATTGCTTTTGGGGTGCTGGAGAAAGTCCGAGGGTTTGTTAGCTCTTGCTTTGAAAATTCACGGGTGGGGGTGGGAAGGGGGGGGAAAAGCACCTTTGGAGCTGTGCAACCTTTTTGCTTTAGAAGTCAGAGAAGTATTCTTGAGGCCCCAGGTGAATTATAAAAGGCGTCACATCAAGTGGCTGGCAGTAAGGACTGTCAATGAAACAGCCGCCTACAGCGCGGGAAAGAGCAGAGAGGCAGGACAAGGGAAGGAAAAAAGAAGAAGAAAAAGGAAGGTTAATTTTATATATATATATTTTTTAAAAAGGGACAGCACTGCTTTAGTTTCTCTGCTCTTTCCAGCCGTGGGTGGCGTTTCCGTTGCCACAGGGCGCCCGGGAAATCTAGTTCTAGCCACTTGCAAATGCCTTCACCCCTCTGTACCTTTCTAGGCAAAGATTGGTCTGAATCTCAAACACGCACACCAAAAAAACCCCAAACAATTAAGGTAGCTTAGGAATGGGTTTGTTGTTGCCCCCCCCCCCCGGTAAAGCAGAGAAATGTAAAATATGCAGCAACAGGGCAAAAGTTACGATGTGGTTAGTAACTCCCAACATGACAAAATAAATCAATAAAAATAATAATAAATGGAGAGGGGGGAATGACTTCATATCAATTATTGGAAATGACGGCCATCGCGTTGGAAAGAGCAGAGCGCTCTAGTCTAGAAAGCCACTAACAGCTAGGAGAGGACCACTCCAGGAAGCAACTTCTCCAGAACTTCGTGCTGGGGAAGAGATTTAAGAAGCGGATTTGGAAGAATTTTGTGGCCTTCCACAGAACTGCCACCTTCCGGAAATCGATCCGACCGCCAAATTGCAAGGAACCAATTGATCTGGGGTCCTCGGCTTCAATCGCTGTGCTTTTCCAAGCTCCATGATGGCGCCTTTTCATCCATAGGCCAGCAGACAAGTCCGTGGTTTACCAATCCTGTTCTCCCGTGGGAAAAGACAGCACACCCCCCCCCCCCCGAGTAGAATTAGGGTCTCTACCCTCCCCGCCCGCCCCCTTTGAAGGCAGGAACAGACGCAGGAGTACCCACAACGGGGTGGTGCTGCTGCGCTGATCCGCAAAGGACTCCCACTTGGATTAAAGCATCACAACCCCGAGCGGCAAGCGAAGAAGGAGCTACACCACCAAGGACGGGGACAAATAACTGGAGGAGCACATTCCAAGAAGCACAAGCCGTGTCTCCTTTTCTCCTTTCCAAAACCAGCTGTGGTTCCTTTCGGGGTCTGGAGTTCTCCATCCGCAAGGCAGCTCCGTCTGGCGCCGAGGACGGACTCATCCCCTGCTCACCCGCCTTCTCTCCGTCTGCCCCGTTTCCCCACTCCCGCCCGTCGGTCCGTAGCATCCTTGGAGGAGCAACTGTTTTGAAAGGGGAACCACAGATGGACAACTTTTGAAAAGAGCAACGGGTCGCTTGCACTGGGTGGGGTGGTGATGCCTTAATAACCGTCAATTCCTCGTTCACAGCTCTTTCTGTACCCCCAAAACAGCAGGGGAGCCGCAGGGGTGTCCCCCCGTGTGAACGATGACCTTTTTTTTGTACGGAAATTCAAGGAAAGAGGCGTGAGATACCGGCCTATGGCTGAAAGAGTGAAGTATTCACAGCAGTGCTGGACGACACCAGACAATTAAAATAGCGGTTTTTCATGGGGGCTGTTGCTGCTTCAGATTCTTCGAATTGCGCAAGGCTACCGAGGAGAATGGGGAGAAACGCGTCAACGGGCTTTTAAAAAGAGGCCACAAGAACCGTTTCATTTACTCGAGGTGGGTTTGTTTTAAGAGCTCTGGCGTGGAAAAGGTCCAAATTGTTACAGACCTGAGCCATCGGAATCCCCGTAAGACATGGATAAAAGCTAATGGCTTGATCTCCCGCAAATGATTTCACCGAATATTCCGGCTGGCTTAGCACAAAGCAGCTTTTTAATAAGGTGTGGGGACTAATGAGCAGAAACCCTGGACAAATTCCAAGGCCTTCTTAGTTCCAAAATCAAAAGAACTCAGAACAGAGAAAGAAAACCTTGCTGGTTGTTGAGAGTCCAACATTAAAAAACCCCGATTCACAAGGGCCTGAGGAGAAAGCCACAGGTAGAGACGGCCAGGTGCAAAAACACAGGTAAGACAGTCTTACGTATCCCCGTCATGCACAAAGTCGTGGGAAATGCCCTTGCGTTGGAGGTAGGTGTCCTGGGAAGAGACCCCACAAAGCCCTAATGCACTGCTAACCTTAAGAGGCAATCTCTCAAAGAATCAACCAGATTACAGAAACTTCCTTGAGTATAAAACTAACTTTTCACCTTCCTTTCTTAAGAAAAGAAAAGTAATTTATTGGCGTGTCAGTTCCTTTTAAAAAAAACAAAACCCACACACAGAAAAAAAATCCCAAAACAAGAACACTGCATCACATAAACCTAAAATGATAAAAGATTTGGGCCCAGGGCTTGGTATTAGGAAACAGGCCAAAAAAAATAAAAAAAAAATACTCTGTATTACAACAAAAACTGGTTTTATTTTGTGATCAGCGTTTGTATAGTCTATACATCTTTCACAAGGTTTTACATAATTCGGATTCCGTTCAGTTAAAAACAAAAGCGTCTAAAGTTTTTTTTCCCTATAACAAAAAGTCGATATAAGTTATTCTGGAGGTGAAGGGAAAGGGGGGGGGGAATGAGGTAACCATTTTCACAGACCATAGTTTCATGTATGTGGTTTTTTTTTTCCTTCTTCAAGTTTTTTAAGAGGACGAAGTTTGCGTTTTGTTAAAACAAAAATTAAAAAAAAAAAGAAGTGGAAAAAGATGGATCTTTACAAATGGTTTTTGCTCAAGTGTGTGAGTGTGTGTGTCTTTCCAAGAAAACCAGGATTACAAAAAGGTAGGTAGACTAAGCTGAGTGTCTTCCTTCTAACATCCTGTTGTGTGTGTGTGGAAGCCGGATAAGAGTCTCAGCCGATGGCTAAAAGAACGAATAATGGGGCATTGGAAAAGTTGGAAATTTCATAACTGGCAACAGAAGCATTCTTTTGGGCAGACCTATGGAAGAAAGCATTTGGATAAATCTAAATGTCCGAGAAAGGTAAGCTACAAAAGGAAGGAGTAGAAGGAAATTGGGTTTGCTCTCCTAATTCTCCCCCACATCTAAAGACAGAGGTGTCTCTGGGTCAACGTTAATCCCTTCCATCACCGTTCCCAAGATCAAAGAGATCCAATTCCTTCCCAATGGACTTCTCATCCTGAGAAAGGGATCCTACTAAGCGACCCGTTTCAAGAGCTTGGCAAGTCCACGCCCACCAGGCCGGCAAAGTCTGACTGATCTTGTGCTGCAGACCAGCAGACCCATACTGCACAGCCTGGCTCCCAACCCAGAGTGGGCGATTCGTTCCTGGATTGATCGATGGATTCCCCCACCCTCCCCAGGGTGGGAAAGATAAGGAGGGCAGGGTGTTTTTTGAAGGTTTCTCTTTGCCCTAGTTTTAAAAAATTCTTGTGGCCTCGCGAGAATCTTGGGAAGATGCTCAATTTTTTTTGTTGTTGTTTAAGCAAAAAGTACCAAAACGAGAAGGCTTCCATGGATGGTCTCTCTCTCTGAATCGTTTCCCCCTACTGGTCTGTTTTTTTAGAAATCAGAAAGCAGCAACAGCAGTTTTTTTTTTTTTTCCAAACAGGATCAAACATGGTCAGAGTGATTTTTTTCCCCCAACATGCAAACAGCTCCACGCAGGCAGAGAAGAGAGAAAAGGACAGGGGTGGGCGGGGGGGGGGGTGTCACAAAATCAGGAGCAGTGGCCGCAGCCCCAAAACTCAGCACCACAATCAAGCGACTAATTAACCAACTAACCAACTGATCCATCAGACATTTCCAAAGGACAGAAACAAAACCAAGGAAGGGGACCCGTCAGAGTTGTTTATGCAGAGGAAGAGGTAAGCATTGCTCTGCATAAGCTGTTTGGAGTCAGCCATGGACCGCTTCAGTTAGCACGGGCGCGGAGGTAGGAGAGGAATAGAATAGAATAGAATAGAATAGAATAGAATAGAATAGAATAGAATAGAATAGAATAGAATAGAATAGAATAGAGGAATAGAATAAAATAGAACTAAGGAATAGAATAAATAGAATAGAATAGAATAGAATAGAATAGAATAGAATAGAATAGAATAGAATAGAATGGAATGGAATAGAAATAGAAAGAATAGAGTAGAGTAGAGTAGAAGAATGGAATGGAATAGAAATAGAATAGAAAGAATAGAGCAGAGCAGAGCAGAGTAGAGTAGAATAGAATAAATAGAATAGAATATACAGAAAAATAGAACAGAACAGAAATATAGAAAAATAATAATAGAATAGAATTAAGGAATAGAATAACAGAACTAAGGAATAGAGTAGAGTAGAGTAGAGTAGAGTAGAAGAATAGAATGGAATAGAAACAGAAAAAAGAGTAGAGTAGAGTAGAAGAATGGAATGGAATAGAAATAGAATAGAAAGAGTAGAGTAGAATAGAATATACAGAAAAATAGAACAGAACAGAAATATAGAAAAATAATAGTAGAATAGAATAGAATAGAATTAAGGAATAGAATAAAATAGAACTAAGGAATAGAATAGAATAGAATAGAATAGAATAGAATAGAATAGAATAGAATAGAATAGAATAGAATAGAATAGAATAGAAAAACAAGTAGAGTGTAGAGTAGAAGAATGGAATGGAATAGAAATAGAATAGAAAGAGTAGAGTAGAGTAGAATAGAATAGAATAAATAGAATAGAATATACAGAAAAATAGAACAGAAATATAGAAAAATAATTATAAGAATAGAATAGAATAGAATAGAATAGAATAGAATAGAATAGAATAGAATAGAATAGAATAGAATAGAAGCTGGAAGGGACCTTGGAGGTCTTCTAGTCCAGCCCCCTGCTCAAGCAGGAGACCCTATACCATCTGAGACAGCTGACTGTCCAGTCTCTTCTTAAAAACCTCCAGTGATGGAGCACCCACAACCTCTGGTGGCAAGCTGTTCCCCTGGTTAATTGTCTTCACTGTTAGGAACCTTCTCCTTAATCCCAGGTTGCTTCTCTCTGATTTCTCTAAACTGCCAAGGCCATGGTCCCAGTCTTTTTTACCAGGAACGCCTCAATTGATACTTGAATCAAACAAACCATAATTTACATAGAGAAAATTTTTACTTCATTGCTCCTGCGTATTTTTGAACGAAATCCATTGGAACTTTTGCAGCATGATCCCTCTGAAAGGGTTTGTTCCAATCTTGGGGCAGTTGCTTCACGTGATTAGCAGGACATTATGAGATTGAGCAAGGAAGATAGATAGCCCATAGTTCCTGGGATAAATTCATGGTTGCAGGAAGATGGGAGAAATCAGAGTGGGATCCTTTTCACATATGTGTAGCCAACATGTAAATCAACCAGTGGGTCATGGGACAGACCAGTTGCTTATGTCAGTAGAAAAGTCTTGTGAAGTTAAATCAAAGGGTGTAGACCAGGGGTAGGCAACCTTGGCTCTTTTATGACTTGTGGACTTCAACTCCCAGGAATGGCTGGTTCATCATGGCTGGCTCAGGAATTCTGGGTATTGAAGTCCACAAGTCATAAAGGAGCCAAGGTTGCCTACCCCCTTTATAGGGTCTCCTGCCTGAGCAGGGGGTTGGACTAGATGACTTCCAAGGTCCCTTCCAGCTCTGTTATTCTATATTCTGTAAGGCATTTTTTTCTGATCTTGCACATTCTCTATCATCCTATTCTATTCTATTCTATTCTATTCTATTCTATTCTATTCTATTCTATATTCTATTCTATTTCTTATTGTATTTTATTCCATTCTATTCTATATTCTATTCTATTCTATTCTAATTCTATTCTATTCTATTCTATATTCTATTCTATTTCTTATTGTATTTTATTCCATTCTATTCTATATTCTATTCTATATTCTATTCTATTCTATTCCATATTCTATTTTATCCCATTCCATATCTATTCTATTCTATTCTATTCTATTCTATTCTATTCTATTCTATTCTATTCTATTCTATTTCTAATTCTATTCCATATTCTATATTCTACCCCATTCCATATTCTATTCTATTTCTTATATTCTATTCTATTTCTTATTGTATTTTATTCCATTCCATTCTATATTCTATTCTATTCTATTCTATTCTATTCTATTCTATTCTATTCTATTCTATTCTATTCTATTCTATTCTATTCCTTTCTTATTCTATTCTGTTCTGTTCTATTCTCAATTTGGGGGTAGGTGAGAGAGAAAATGGGGACAGCAGACTGGACAGCCCCATTCCTTTCCCAGATCAGCTCCTTCCCAAGGCACGGAGAAAGAGGGACTGTCTAGTCAAGGAAAACATCCTCAACAAAGTCCCGGGAATTAAAACTTTCTCCCAACTCCAAACCTTGGCTTGACTCAATTTATTTCCAGCATCTCTCAGCTGCCTGCCCCCCCACCCACCCACCCTGTTTTTGCAGAGTGTTTATTTCTTCCTTAGGGAAGTTGGTAAGATTAGAGCCGGGACACGCGGCAATTCAACCAGCTTGCTTTCGAATTTGGAGTTAAAACCTCCGGGGTGCACAGTCAGGGGCCCCTTGCACTAACCCATTGGCTTCCCTGGGGTTCAGAAGGGGCTCCCTCCAAGAAGATTGGGCAATGCCGTCGCACTTCCGTGCAGAATCTCCTGCAAGGGCCGACTGGGAGTGGGCAAGCAGGTCATGCAGAGACACAACGGGCAGCTGCAACCATCGCTGACTCCAAAGGCCGTCCTCCTCGGCATAAAACTACATTCAAAGTCATCAAAGGGCCAATCATTTTTTAAAGAAACGATCCAGGTTTTTTTAAAATCAAGCACCACGGGGAGGGTCCCCGTCCAAGCCCTGCTGGGGATGGGGAGCGAAGGGCAGACCTCAGCAGGGCCAGCTGGGGACAAGACCACCCTGTCTTTGGGAGAGGGAAAAAGATGGGGAGAGGAGAGCACGGTTATGCCAACGGGCGGGTTTTCCAAGAACGGCGGAGTCAGGACACGCCGCACGGGGAGTCCCCGACTTACAACGGTTGGCTTTAGTGACCCGTTCAAAGTTACGTCGCTGAAAAAGAGGTGATTTTATGACCGTTTTTCACCCTTGCGACCATTTTTCACACTTACATTAAAGCATCCCCCCATGGTCGCCTGGTCAAACTTCAGACGCTTCCTATTTACGACGGTCGCAGCGTCCCCGGGGGTGTGTGGGTCACGTGACCCCCTTTCTGTGACTTTCTGACGAGCCCTTGGGGAGAAGCCAGATTCGCTTCCCAGCCGGGTTGCTAACTTATCCATAGTGATTCGCTTAACAACGGGCCGTAAATTGGGGGCAACATTCACTTCAGAAAGGTTTTCACAGGGATTCCAAGCTCGGTCGTGGTTGTAAGTCGAGGTGCAGGGGAATTCTTAAGAGAATTCCAGGGAAGAAGCATCGGCTTCTACCAATTCCAAAATGTCTTCCCTGGCTCTTGGAAGTTGCTAGGCCAGGGGTAGGCAACCTTGGCTCTTTTATGACTGGTGGACTTCAACTCCCAGAATTCCTGAGCCAGCATGGGGGAACTATGCCCCCCTTTAGGACTCGTGGACTTCAACTCCCAGAATTCCTGAGCCAGCCTGGCTCAGCTTGGAAACCTCTCCCTTTCCCCCCAGCGTGGCTGGCTCAGGAATTCTGGGAGTTGAAGTCCACCAGTCATAAAAGAGCCAAGGTTGCCTACCCCTGTGCTAGGGCCTCGCGGCTGAAAATCTGGGCCTCTGGACTCTGCAGGATTAGGCCGGGCGCCCACAAACAGGACCCTTATCCTCTTCTCTCCTGGGGGCCACAAACATCGAGGGCCATGCGGGCTGTGTGGTGGCAGCCCCTTTCTCCAGTCTGGTGTCCCTCCCTACCGGTTCCCATCTGCCCCCAGACAGACTGGGGAACGATGGGAGATGCAATGGGAAGGCCCACCCTCGGAGGGGGTCCCAGATGCCCATGGGAAGCCTACAGCATCTCAGGACCTTGGTGAGCCAGAGAGGGCCGGCGGGAGAGAAGCCAACGTGGACTCTGAGATAGGACGAAGACTTGGCCCTTTGAGTGGCTTTGAATGGAGCACAAAATGGCCATTCCGAAGGCGTGGGAGACACGGGCTACCAGGTCCGGCGCGGGGAGGAGGGGGAGGAAAGGAAGGAGGGAGCAGGCAGTTAGGACAAGCAGCTCTTTGGCAGTCAGGCAGAAGCAAATTAAGAGGAACAAGCCACAGCGAGAAGAGCAGCTTGGCTGATGGCCGTCCAGGAGCCCCCCCCCGCACTTTGCCTTCCCCCCTCCCCCCAAAAAGCTGGCCTGAGAATGGGGAGATATATTTGGTAGACAAGGAAAAGGGCGGGACCTACCATAAGCCGGGGCGGCGGCAGCGGTTGCGTTGTATCCGTAGGGTGCCGCGTATCCTGCAAGAGAAGCAGAGAGAAATGGTGACAGGTTTCCCCCCCTCTCTGGTGGGCACGGAGAAAAGGGGCAAGGCCAGAGATGCCCGCCGGTCGTGTGGTCATCTGAACACATAGGCTATGTATATGCATACATCCGAACTAGACTGTGTTGTTTCTCTGGGCCTGTGTGTGTATGTGGGTATATGCATACTTTTTGGGGGGGTTATGTTTATGCAGTGTATCTTGGAGGCGGTTACCCTTTGAGAGCTATAGGCAATAAAATCTCATTTTAATGTATGCTGATTAGTGTACATTTAAAGTGACAATAAGGTTATTATTCTATTCTATTTTCTATTCTATTCTATTTTCTATTCTTCTCCTTCTCCTTTCTATTCTATTCTATTCTATTCTATTCTATTCTATTCTATCCCATTCCATATTCTATATTCTATTCTATCCCATTTCATATTCTCTTCTTCTTCTTCTTCTTCTTCCTCTTCTTCTTCTCCTTTCTATTCTATTCTATTCTATTCTATTCTATTCTATTCTATTCTATTCTATTCTATCCCATTCCATATTCTATTCTATTCTTCTTCTTCTTCTTCTTCTTCTTCTTCTTCTTCTTCTTCTTCTTCTTCTTCTTCTTCTTCTTCTTCTTCTTCTTCTTCTTCTTCTTCTTCTTCTTCTTCTTCTTCTATTTTCTATTGTTCTATTCTATTTTCTATTCTATTCTTAATTCCATTCCCTATCCTATCCTATCCTATCCTATCCTATCCTATCCTATATTCTCTATTTCTATTTATCCTATCCTCTATCCTCTATCCTATCCTATCCTATCCTATCCTATTCTATTCTAGTCAGGAGTGCTAGTTTGCTGTCAGTTTATATTCTGGGGTCTTGCCTGTCTGGCTGGGTGGGGTCTTAGGGAGTCTTTGATTGGGCTGTTTACTAATGGCCATTTCTGGATTGGGGTCCTGCTTCCTGGATTCTTGGTCTGAAGTGAATCTATGCTGATCTGCTTTCCTGTTGGTGCGCTGGGGTCTTTTTCTCTTTGCGGCTGGTTGATTGTCTCTTTTGCATCATCTATATAATGTCTACGTGTCTATTGATGGCTGATTTGTCAGAGTGCCGGGCTTCTAGAAATCTCCTGGCATTTTTGGATTCGGCCTGGTCTAGGAGGGTCACACTTCCCCAATTAAAACTATGGTTGAATCTGTCTCTGTGTTGTGAAATTAAAGTGAAATTTTCATCAGGCTTCTGACTGCCAGTCGGTGTTCCTGTCTGCCTTCGGCCCATCTTCTGCCTGTCTGTCCTACATAGTGGTTGTTGCACTCCTTACCCTGTATGTTGTGGATAACTCCTGTTTTTTTCCTCTGGGGGTGCTGGGTCTTTTACCCATACGAGGTAACACTCTAACCAGGTAACAGAAGCCTGCATGCGGCAAAGACTTGAGGTTGGTTTGTAGTTTGGGAACCACAATTTAATTAAAAATGGGATTTCAGCCCTCTAAAGCAGGACTCTCCAATCTTGGCAACTGTAAGACTTGTGGACTTCAACTCCCAGAATTCCTCAGCCAGCAAAGCAGGAATTCTGGGAGTTGAAGTCCACAAGTCTTACAGTTGCCAAGGTGATCTAAGCAGCCATGATGACTCAGAAAAGGCCTCCTCCTGTGTGGGAGTTCAGCCTCACGGTAGGGCTTGTTGTTCCCCTGTAAACAACCCCAGAACAACCCGGGCGGGTTCTACCTGGTGCCAGGTAACTGGTGGCCGCTGCTGCCCCGACAAACGCCCCCCGCATGGGAGCCCCTCGTCCTCTCCCTCGTGCCGCCGCAGACATGGCTGTGTTTACAAGCCCTCCTTTGGTCTGTGGAGAGAGACAGAGAAGGGTGAAGGCCAGCAAAACTCACAGCGGCGGCTGTTGACGCGCTTCCTTTCATTCTGTAACCTTCAAAGGGGGGATTCTGGTCCTGAGGTGGGGGTCAGGATGGATTGAAGGACGGAGCTGGAAGAATAGAATATGGAAGTGGAGTGGAGTGGAGTGGAATGGAATAGAGTATAGAGTAGAATAGAATAGAGTAGAGTAGAGTAGAGTAGAATAGAATAGAATAGAATAGAATAGAACAGAATAGAATAGATTAGAATATGGAAGTGGAGTGGAGTGGAGTGGAGTGGAGTGGAGTGGAATAGAGTAGAGTAGAGTAGAGTAGAATAGAATAGAATAGAATAGAATAGAATAGAATAGAATAGAATAGAATAGAATAGAATAGAATAGAATAGAATATGGAAGTGGATTGGAGTGGAGTGGAATGGAATAGAGTAGAGTATAGAGTAGAATAGAATAGAGTAGAGTAGAGTAGAGTAGAGTAGAGTAGAGTAGAATAGAATAGAATAGAACAGAATAGAATAGATTAGAATATGGAAGTGGAGTGGAGTGGAGTGAAGTGGAGTGGAGTGGAGTGGAATAGAGTAGAGTAGAGTAGAATAGAATAGAATAGAATAGAATAGAATAGAATAGAATAGAATAGAATATGGAAGTGGATTGGAGTGGAGTGGAATGGAATAGAGTAGAGTAGAGTAGAGTAGAGTAGAGTAGAGTAGAGTAGAATAGAATAGAATAGAATAGAATAGAATAGAATAGAATAGAACAGAATAGATTAGAATATGGAAGTGGAGTGGAGTGGAATAGAGTAGAGTAGAGTAGAATAGAATAGAATAGAATAGAATAGAATATGGAAGTGGATTGGATTGGAGTGGAGTGGAATGGAATAGAGTAGAGTAGAGTAGAGTAGAATAGAATAGAACAGAATAGAATAGATTAGAATATGGAAGTGGAGTGGACTGGAGTGGAGTGGAATAGAGTAGAGTAGAGTAGAGTAGAGTAGAGTAGAATAGAATAGAACAGAATAGAATATGGAAGTGGAGTGGAGTGGAGTGGAGTGGAATGGAATAGAGTAGAGTATAGAGTAGAATAGAATAGAGTAGAGTAGAGTAGAGTAGAATAGAATAGAATAGAATAGAATAGAACAGAATAGAATAGATTAGAATATGGAAGTGGAGTGGAGTGGAGTGGAGTGGAGTGGAGTGGAATAGAGTAGAGTAGAGTAGAGTAGAGTAGAGTAGAGTAGAGTAGAGTAGAATAGAATAGAATATGGAAGTGGATTGGAGTGGAGTGGAGTGGAATGGAATAGAGTAGAGTAGAGTAGAGTAGAGTAGAATAGAATAGAATAGAACAGAATAGAATAGATTAGAATATGGAAGTGGAGTGGACTGGAGTGGAGTGGAATAGAGTAGAGTAGAGTAGAGTAGAATAGAATAGAACAGAATAGAATATGGAAGTGGAGTGGAGTGGAGTGGAGTGGAATGGAATAGAGTAGAGTATAGAGTAGAATAGAGTAGAGTAGAGTAGAGTAGAGTAGAGTAGAGTAGAGTAGAGTAGAGTAGAGTAGAAAAGAATAGAGTAGAATAGAATAGAATAGAATAGAATAGAATAGAATAGAATAGAATATGGAAGTGGAGTGGAGTGCAGATGGCTTTCTCTTCCCCACGATGCTGTCACGAAGGGCCACAGTTTGTCCTCTCCTGCTCTGCTCAAACCCCTCCCTCAATTCCCCCCAGCTGGATCTACTCCCCTCCCTTCTTCTCCAGCCCAAAGCCTCCCCCTCCCCCATCCATTTCTTCTGGGTTTCTGCTGGTTTCAGAAGCTTGCAGATCCACCTGGGCCGCCTCCCCTCTCACCTGTGGGAGAATCTTTTTCTTCTTGTTGGCAGCTGCGTTGGGGCCCGAAAAGAGCTTCTCAAGAGCTGCCAAGGCAGCGCTGGCCTTGGCTACTTTCTTGTTGGGGCCAGCCCCTCGGAACCTCTGCCCGTCGACTTCTACCTGGAAGCGAGATTGGCAATTGGCACCCAAGTTGGGCGTCACCCCCAGAGGAAATCCCAAGCCCGGGGGTGGGCGGGTGGGTGGACGGGGGCCCTCCTCACCTCCATCACAAACCGCTTGTCGTGGCTTCCTCCCGTCTCGGAGATGAGCTCATATTTCAGGCCTCGCCGCTTCTCGTTTAGCTCCATCACCGGATTCTTGCCGCTGGCTGTGAGGATGGGACCCTGAGTTCGGACCTAGGAGAAGCAGGGAGGGCTTGAGGGCAGCCAGGACCCCCACGGTTTCATCCCGTGGAACGTAGGTAAGTAGGTAGATAGGTAGGTAAAGAGACAGACAGATCGACAGACAGACAGACGGACATGTAGGTAGGTAGGTAGATAGATAGATAGACAGACAGACACACAGACGGATAGATAGATAGATAGATAGATAGATAGATAGATAGATAGATAGACAGACAGACACACAGATGGATGGATAGATAGATAGATAGATAGATAGATAGATAGATAGATAGATAGATAGATATTCGATAAATAAATAGGTACATGATGAATGGAATGGAATGGAATAGAATAGAACATAGAAAATAGAATAGAATAGAATATAGAAAATAGAATAGAATAGATATGTATGCATGTAGGTAGACGATAGATAGATAGATAGATAGATAGATAGATAGATAGATAGATAGATAGATAGATAGGCAGATGGGTAGATAGATAGATAGATAGATAGATAGATAGATAGATAGATAGATAGATAGATAGATATTCGATAAATAAATAGGTACATGATGAATGGAATGGAATGGAATAGAATAGAATAGAATAGAATAGAATAGAATAGAATAGAATATAGAAAATAGAATAGAATATAGAAAATAGAATAGAATAGAATAGAATAGAATAGAATAAATATGTATGCATGTAGGTAGATGATAGATAGATAGATAGATAGATAGATAGATAGATAGATAGATAGATAGATAGATGATGGGTTGGTGGGTGGGTGGGTGGATAGTCAGACAGACAGACAGACAGAGCTGAATAGAAGGATGGATAGATGGATGGATGGAAGGAAGGAAGGGAGGGAGGAAGGAGTGGAATATGGACAGAGGGAAGGGAAGAGGGAGGAGAGAAAAAGAGGGAGAGAGAAAGAGAAGGACAGACAAACAGAAAGGGAAGATGGAAAGACAGAATGAATGAAGACAGGCGATTAGAGACGACAGAGGGATGGATAGATAAGACAGATGGAGAAGAGAAAGCAAGGAAGGAGCAGCTCCAGATTTGTCTATCCCCCCCACCCCAACCCCCCCTTCAGGAAACAGCTCTGGCACAATTCATACAAGAAAGGGATGCAGTTCGTTCCTGGACCCACCCGTGGGTTTTTTCCCCCTACAAATATCGTGCTCACGAGCGTTTTTCACACCTGGTGACACCCCCGTATTTTTCAGGAAACGGCAAGCAGCACAGGGGACCTCCCTGTTTGTGGAACGATGTGACAGCCTGGGGGACCCCCCCCCCGCTCCTTCAGGGCTGCCCTCCACAGGCCGGCATAGCTTGGCGTCTCTAGGACGGTTGCCCCCCCCCCCTTCCACCCTCCTGGGACAGAAATACTGGAGAGGAGGCAGAAGTTTCCAGTTACTCCGGGGCGCCTGCTCTGACGCTGAGCAAGGGGAAGATCACGTTACTCGCCGGGTGTCCCAGTGTCCCTCAGCCCACACAAACTGCGGCAGCCGAAGTCTGGCGGCGGTGGTGGTGGTGGTGAATGAAACCATTTTGGTCCTAAAACAATGCCTTAGCTTTTTTCTCCTTTTGTGAAAAAGAGCAAAGGGAGAGAAAGAGAGTGGCAGAAAGAGTGGGGCAAGTAGGAAACGAAGCATCCTCCTCGGGCGCGCTGGAAGGGCTTTGCACACGAAAGACAACCCAGTTTTGGGTTTTGACCACTGAGGCCCTAAAGAGCCATAAAGGGGTCTTTAGGGGCTTTCTCTCCGGACCCAGAAATTGGCACCTCACTTTCCGTTTTAAAAAAGGGAAAACTTTTCGATCTCATAGAGAATAAACAAGAAATGCAAAGAGGGAGGGAGGAAAAAAGGAAGGGAGGAATAAAGGAAGGAACGAAGGAAAAGAAGGAGGGAAGAGGGAAAGAAGGGAGGGGGGAGGGAGGGAGAGAGGAAGAAAGGAAGGAAGGAAAGGAGGGAGGGAAGAAGGAAGGAAAGAAGGAAAGAAGGAAGGAAGGAAGGAAGGAAGGAAGGAAGGAAGGAAGGAAGGAAGGAAAAAAGAGAAAGAGTGGGAGGGAAGGAGAGAGGGAAGAAGAAAGGAAGGAAAGAAGAAGGACAAGAGGAAGGGAAAAAGGAAGGGAAAAAGGAAGGAAGGAAGGAAGGAAGGAGGGAAAGGGAAGGAAGGTGAGAGATAGAGAGAAAAGAGAGGAAGGAAGAAGGGAATGGAAGGAAGGAAGGAAAGAGAGAAAGGAAGGAAAGAAAGAGAAAAAGAAAGAAAGAAAAAAGAGGGAGGGAAGGAAGGGAGGAAGGGAGGAAAGAAGGGCAGGAGGGAGGGAAGAAGGAAGAAAGGAAAGAGAAAAGAAGGAAGAAAGAGGGAGGGAAGGGAGGAAAGAAGGGCAGGAGGGAGGGAAGGAAAGAAAGAAGGGAAAAAGAAGGAAGGAAAAAAGAAAGAAAAAAAGAAAGAAAGAAAGAAAGAAAGAAAGAAAGAAAGAAAGAAAGAAAGAAAGAAAGAAAGGGAGGAAAGGAGGAAGGAAGGAGACGCACCTCTAAGGTTGCAGAGGTATCAACCGTGGAATTCCCATTATTATTGCTTGTGTTTGAAGACACAGTCTCATTTTTCCCTTCTGTATCCGACTTCTCATCGGAGCTGGTGCATTCCATGTCTGCGTCGAAGCCGGTGGGGTAGCCCATCGCTTGCAACACCTGCGTAAATTGCCTTGATCAGGAGACCGTTTCCTTCGGCACGAGGCCAAGCCAAAACTTCATCCCCTGGTCTCAACCTGGCCGACTCACCTTTACGGCCACGTGAAGCTTGGCCGTCTTCTTGGAAGGTCCTGAGGCTTCGTAGGTCGTTCCGTCCACGTCCACGGACATGGTGAAGACCGGGGCGTGGACGGGCCCCGACTGAGAGAGGAGCTTGTACTGCAGGCCGGGCCGGATCTGGTTCAGCCGCATCAAGGCATTCATGAGGTCTATTGCTTTGCTGTCAAGGACTGTTGGAGGAAGCCAAGGCGGAGACAAGACTCAGAAGGGGAGAAGCTGGGAGGGCTACGTGTGTGTGTTTGTGTGTGTGTGGCTTTGCTTCACTCCTGTAGCTCTTTGAGAGTCTTGCAGGTTCCCTTGTCTCAGAGAAACTAAGCAGGGTCAGGAGACCACCAGGCGATCCTAGAGCTGAAGTTTAGCCAGGAAAATTGGAAAAAAAATAATAATCCAGAAAAAGGAGACCACTCAATCACTTCCTATTATTGTCTGAATGGAAGAACTGGAATAGGCTAATGTTTTCCAGAACCAACTTTCCTTCCCTTTCATTTTCCTTTCCTTTCCTTTTGCTTTCTTTCCTTCCCTTCCCTTCCTTTTCTTTTGTTTTATATAGTTATGTTTTAGGTCTGTGTCATGTATGTGTTTCACTTTGAGAGCGGTCAACTAAATTTCATTTTTTTAAAAAACAAGTTTTATTAGTTTTTTTTCATTTTACAAACCAGTGCTTAAGAATCACTGTGGTGGCAGGGCAAATCAATTGTCCAAATACAAAATCATACAAATACTAAATTTCATTTTTGATGTATGCCGTTGTGCCCACAGTAAAAAAATGACAATAAAGGTTATCTTATCTTTCTTTCTTTCTTTCTCTTTCTTTCTTTCTTTCTCTTTCTTTCTTTCTTTCTTTCCTTTTTTCTTTCTTTCTTTTTGTCTTTCTCATTCATTCATTCATTCATGTATTTAATTTACTTCTTCGTTAAATTTAATTCCCTGAAACCACCTCTCAGACGAAGTTTGAAATTTGTTTGAAAGCTTAACACCCAGCACGTGCAAAAAAAGCAAAGGTTTTATCCAAATCCAAAGCACCTACAGTGAGGTTTGGGAAAAAAGAATCTAGCAATTTTTATACAGAGAAAAATAGGGATCTTCTAGTTTTACTTGTTGACTAGAGAGAAGCCAAACAGGTAAAATCAGAGCTGATTGTGGCCGATTCAAGACGCAAAGAAAAGCATCTTCTGCCAAGCACTGGAAATATTCAAAGGACTCATTCAGCATCCACAATTGGAACTCGGTCCTTAAGCGAAGCAATCGCTGAGTGAAACCACGACTGGCTTCGCCGTCTTACTTCAGTTTTCCTTTGCGTTGTAAACTGGCCGTAAATGCAAAGACCGGTTGCCAAGTGACTTTTTCCTCACCGTCGTTAACTGCAAACAGTGGCCAAAGGAGACAGTCGATAAACGAGGGCCAGAAATTCACCATTGCAAGAATTAGCTAACAATGGAAGGGAAACGAAGGGCAGCTGGGAAATAAACAATGTGGCAATAATGAACAGGGAGGAGAACGCATCCTTACTTTTCCTCAAATTCCTCTTCATTTTCTTACTGGGGTCTTTCTCGTCCCCCAACCCGTCTTCGAAAGGCCTCTTGAGGGCAGAGGAAACTGGGCCTAGAAAGAGAAAATGCTTTTTTTTTTTTAATTGCATAAAAGGAAGAGGCGAGCGGCGCTGATGGATATGCTGCAGCTGAGCCACGGAAACAGCGTTGGGGAAAAAACACCCCAAAGGTGATTTTTTTTTCACCAGGCCACTGGACTTTTTTGTTTTTCCTTCGAAGACGTTTCGCTGCTCATCCCAGAAGCTTCTTCAGCTCTGACGGGATGGTGGGGGGAGTGGAAAGATTTATACTCCTTTTAGAGAGTCATTGAGGCCACTTGGAGGCTTTACCTGTCACCTGAGCAGTGCAAATGGGAGTGGAGAAGAATGGGGAAAGAGTCTGGGTGGTCTGCATCTCAAACTGAACCACAAACGGTTCCCGGAGTCTGCGATGTTTTCTGGAAATCCATTCGGGAGTATGTAAGGAGTATAAACCCTTCCATTCCCCACCTTCCAGTCAGAGCTGAAGAAGCTTCTGGGAAGAGAAGCGAAAGGTCTTCAAAGAAAAACCAGACAGTCCAGTTGCCTCTTGAAAAAGCACCTTTGGGGACAGCTATGACCTGGAAGACGGAGAATGTCCGCAGACATTGAAAAAACAAACTTTTGCATCAAGAAAGATTGGCTGTGGGAACCGCTCTTTAGATGCAGGAGAGGGGAGGGGTTGTTTGGGAGGGGGGGGGGAAATCTCTTATTAAAAATATATATAAACAAACATAAAAAGCCCTCAAAGAGGAGAAATAAAAAGTAAAATATAAACGAATCAATGAGGGAGTTTAAAAACGTCGCGGAGATTATAATTTTCCAGTACATAGTCAATTAGTTGCAATTAATTAGTCCGTGATTGTATCGCTGGAACAGACTGTGATGGAGATCGGCTGTTGAGGAAAGGGAGAATGAACAGAATAACAGAGCTGGAAGGGACATTGGAGGTCTTCTAGTCCAACCCCCTGCTCAGGCAGGAAACCCTAGACCAAGGGTAGGCAATCTTGGGTCTTTTATGACCCATGGACTTCAACTCCCAGAATTCCTGAGCCAGCCAGGCTGAGGGGAAAGGGAGAGGTTTCCAAGCTGAGCCATGCTGGCTCAGGAATTCTGGGAGTTGAAGTCCACAAGTCATAAAGCGGCCTAGGCCTAAGGTAGCCAACCTTGGCTCTTTTATGACTCATGGACTTCAACTCCCAGAATTCCTGAGCCAGCCAGGCTGAGGGGAAAGGGAGAGGTTTCCAAGCTGAGCCATGCTGGCTCAGGAATTCTGGGAGTTGAAGTCCACCAGTCATAAAAGAGCCAAGGTTGCCTACCCCTGCCCTATACCATCCCAGTCAAGTGGCTGTCCAATCGCTTCTGAAAAACCTCCAGTAATGGAACACCAACAACTTCTGGTGGCAAGCTGTTCCACTGGTTAATCGTCTTCACCGTTAGGAAGTTTCTCCTTAGTTCTAGGTTGCTTCTCTCCTTGATTAGTTTCCATCCATTTGCTTCTTGTCCTGCCTTCAGGTGAACCTACCTTCTTTGTCGGCCCCCGACCACGAATATTTCTGGAACAGCTTATTGGAAGGGAGAGGGTCCATCTCCAGCACCTTGTAGATTTGGCCAAAAGCCGAGAGTCTCAGGGCATGCTGGGGGAAAAAAAAAATCAAAATGGGTCAAACACAAAAGGACATTATTTGGCGATTCAGCCCCACTCCGAGGCCAAGGAGCACACTGCTCCAGAAATTGGGTGGCTTTCAACCCATCACCCCAAGAAACGGCTTTGGGTGTCTTTAATCCATGAAGACACTCGTTCGCCATTGTGGGAGGGGAAAAGGAGACCAACCTAGGTGGCTGGCACATTTTACCTGGGCACTATGGGTTATGGCTTCCCTTTGTGGAACAGTCAGGCTAAACAAGGCATCCGTTGGCTCTCGCTCACAAGGGTCATGTACACCAGGCCCACCTAGACACAAGATGGAGTTCAACCCTCATCCTTTTCCAACGGCCCTCAAAAACCACAACCATGGTGCCACAGAACAACAAAAAAGAGCTACGCGGGAGGAAAAGGGCTAGTTAGAGATGGGTGTCTCCTACACCATGAGTCCCCAACCTATGGTCCACGGCCCGGGCTGTGGGCTCTTGGCCAGCGAGCCGCAGAAACGGCTAGCCAGGGCGCACACATGTGGCCGCACATTTCCTCACTTGCACTAGTGCCTGCAGCCGTTTGCACATGCGTGTGGGCATGAATGGGAATGCCAGCACGGGGCAGGTGTCCGCAGCCTGTTTGCGCATGTGACGCTAGCCTGGGCGGTTTGCATGGCCCATTTGCGCATGTGTGAATGGGCCGCTAGCCGCCATGAGGGGTGTGCGGCCGTTCACGCAGGCGCACGGCACCAGCGGATGCCACATGTGCGAATGGGGCTGCTAGTGCCGTGCCAGTGTGCGTGGCCCCGTGCGTCCGTGCGTGCACACCAATTTTGAAGCTGCTCTCCTTCCCTCCGGTCCTCGGGGCCAGAAAGGTTGGCGACCTCTGTGCTACACAATTTTATCAGTTGGATTGTATCCGGTTTGACTATGGGATTTCAAGGGAAGGTCTAAAGCAGGGGTAGGCAACCGTGGCTCTTTTATGACTGGTGGACTTCAACTCCCAGAATTCCTAGCCAGCCATGCTGAGGGGAAAGGGAGAGGTTTCCATACTGAGCATGCTGGCTCAGGAATTCTGGGAACTGAAGTCCACCAGTCACGAAGGGGCCAAAGTTTCCCTCATGCTGGCTCAGGAATTCTGGGAGTTGAAGTCCACCAGTCATGAAGGGGCCAAAGTTTCCCCCATGCTGGCTCAGGAATTCTGGGAGTTGAAGTCCACATGCCTTAAAATGGTCAAGGTTGAGAAACACTGTCCTACTTTGAGAAGGCCGCACATCTTCTGAACTCGCAGGATCAGCAAACCACAAGGCCGCTCTCCAAAAGGAGACTGGACATGCTAGAGTGATCCATCAATGCACGACTGGTCAACCTCCGAGGAAGAGGTTGGCAGATCTTACCTGGCAACAGGATCCCTGAGGCCAAACACTCCAACACTCGCCGGAGAGCTTCCCCGGCACCCAGCGGCCTGTTGCAGGTGCCAATGGCTTTCTCGCACAGCAGCTCCAAGGGCTGAAAGACAACTGGATGGTATAAACTAATGGTATAAAAATAACATAGGAAGACAAAACAGACGGATGGGCAGACAAGGCAAGCCCAGCCACGAGGTCAGAAAGGCACCAAGTAATTTCTATCCATCCTAGAAATCCCGCCATCTTCTTGGAGATATCTGAACGTTGGATCCAGCCAAGGAGAATCATAACCTCGCCATCCTCTTTTGGCAACTGGTGTTATGAGACCCACCCACCACTAAGCGTACAATGGGCACAGTGGCACTACAGGTGATCCAGATTCAATCTTTACGTCGGAACATAAAACAAACATTATTTCTGTAGAGGACATTGCGTTGGCAATCGATCAAGTAGCACATCAGTTTGGGACCAGAGAGAAAAACCCCTTGTGTGGAATATGTTAAAAAAAAAAAAATCTAGTAATATTCCAGGATGGGGAGGGGAGGAAACTGCACAGTAGCAGAGATGCTCCTCACCGCTGATGTGACTCAGTTGGGTAATGAAACATCTGCAAGCCAACAAGCAAGCTCAGAAGGCACCAAGACCTCCACTGTTCAACCCTGAGCTAGATATTTTCTCTTCTACTGGTCCACCTCCAGTGGGAAAAGCTAGGACCTCTGTACTGGATCCATCGCTTTTGGGCCAGACGCTTCCTTGCAGGAAACTATTTTGAGGTCCTCTCCTCACAGGCGTGGAAACCTGGTCTTTCTTGCCCACCAATGGAATAAAGCTTGGAATTGATGCTCTTTGTTTTCAACAGACCTAGCTTAGGAGACAATCCTGGACCATGGATGGTTGATGATAGTTCTTGAGGTATGGTTGAACTGGGTGCTTGCCCTGAAGATTCTGTCTCAGGGCAAGATAACCTAACCCACGGGTCGGCAACCCACGGCTCTGGAGCCACATGTTTGCTCTTTGAGCCTTCTCCTGCGGCTCTCAGCCTCTTCCGCCATTGCAGAGAGAGAGAGAGACAGAGAGAGGCACTTGCTCTTCCCTTCTCTGTCTCTCTCTCTCTCTCTCTCTTTGTGTGTGTGTGTGTGTAAAAAAGAGAGTGGCCTCATGCTGTTCTCCGACAAACTTATTGGGCGGGGCTCCTGCCTTTGCTGCGTCTCTGCAGGAAGCAGCAGAAAGCTGCATCTCTCTCTCTCTCTCTCTCTCTCTCTCTCTCTCTCACACACACACACACACACACACACACACACACACACACATACTGAGAGGGGGAAGAGGGCTGGCACACCAAGGGCAGGAGAGAGCCAGCCCAATAAGAATGTGTGTCAGCTTGTTGGAGAACAGCGTCAGGCCAGCTGACCAGGTGAGCAGAAGATCGAAAAGAGAGGGGGAGAAAGAGGGGGGGAGGAAGAGAAAGAGAGGGAGAGGGAGGGAGGGAGGGAGAGAAAGAGAGAGAGAGAGCGCTCATGCCCAACAGCCTCTATTTCTTGTTAATTAAACTCTTCAATCAAGCCCCACCCTCCGGTGCACATGCCCACGAGTTTTGCGGCTCCCAGTGTTTTCTTTTCTGTGGGAAACGGGTCCAAGTGGCTCTTTGAGTGTTTAAGGTTGCCGACCCTCTGACTTAATCCCAATAGAAGGTACTAATATCTGCAGTCAACAATTGTCAAGGATGATTTATTTATTTTTACAAAAGGAACTGGCTGGTTTTGAAGGCAAGGATCTCAAGTGCTGAGGAGGAAAAAATCAGAAGAGGCAAACTACATTTTTTTTGCAAACAGAAAACTTTGCAAAGGCGGACTAAGCGACACTTACCCAGCCTTTCAAGGGGGCCCAAGTAGGAACTCTGTTGCATAAATCCCTCAGGATCCGTAGCACAATCACACAGGATTTGAGCCCGTTCGCTCTGGCCTAAAAAAAAAACCAGAATTGCCCCGTTCTTGTCTGCAGGGTGTCCAACCTAAACAACTATGATTTATTTTTTTGTAAAAAAAAAAATGAAAAAAAAAAAAAAAATAAACTTTCGAAAGGCTACGATAGGTAAGAACAAAAAGCCCAACCTGAAACCATTTGGCGTGTCGCAGAGACGCCAAAGCGTCGAGGCATTTTTGCCTGTTGAGTGAATCCGAAGGCTCTTTCGCCAGGACACTGTCTACTGGGAAAATGGGAATATGAGAGAAAACAAAAAGAGACATGCAGAGTTGGATCAAGCGGACAATTCTGTCGCCCCACACACAGAACAAACGCCAGCAAGACAGAAGGGTTCTTAATAAGACGCCCAGAATTGCACTGACTTCCATTTTAACTCCGTAATTTTCGTCCTAGCAAGGAGGCATCGTATTTTTTTTTTTTAAACACGTATGCCAGGTTCTTCTTTTTTTTAAAAAAAAATAGTCGTAAATAGGCGTGTGCACCAGAAGCAAAACAGAGGCTATTTGTGTTTTTTTTCCAGCGTTTGCAGACAATCTGGGATCTTATTAATTGGTTAAAAAGAACTTGGGGCAGACCGTACAAAGTGTGGTGCTTTGAATCATTCCCAGCTGCGATTTCTCAAGGCAAAGGGAAAATTAAACCATCGTGGAAGCAGAGAGACTTAAAAAAGTCTCGAGGGCTAATTTCCAAAAGGCTCTACGTTCGGTTATGTTAGATTCCCCTACTTTTTCATCAAAGCAATACTCAGAACCCCTCGGAACCAGGATGCGTGGAAAAGCAGGAACCTGCAGAGAGAACTTTTGATATTTTAAATGTTCTCTCCGTTGGACATCTTCACAATTTGGATAAGACAGCAACAGATCACTGACATTTACCCTCTTTTTCTTCGGAAGCCTTCTACGTTGGCGTGGCCCACAGCCGTTTTAAGGAGGCAAGTCTGTTGGTTTTGTCGCTTCCCTACCTTTTTAGATAAGACATGGATGGACTGCAGCAAACAATAAAATACTTTGTCTGTCCATTAGGTGGAATAATTTTTTTTGGGGGGGGAAAACATTTGCTGAGAGAGATCTGTGAACAAATTCTTGGACTCATCCCCGGTCGTCAGATCAGAGGCTCTCTGGAGAAGATTCTGTATCCAGAACTTTTAAGAAGTTTTGCCTACCAAACCTGCTAAACTGGCATGAATCCGATCAGGACCCAGGCAGTTCACATCTTCAGCTTTGGATGGATGGAGCTGAGATGGTGACCAACCACATCATTTTTTTTTATTATTATTTTTTAAGGCAAGCCAATGTTGTGTTTTGAAGTTGCAATAAGAATTACAATCTTTTCAAAGGTGAGCAAAGAGCTTCCACAAGCTCTTGAGAAAGAAGCAACTGGGGTGGAAGCTAAAGGTGTGTTTGTGTGTTCTTCTGGAAAAAAAAAAGTTCTCCAGAACAACTGCTGTTTCTCCAGCTTTGCTTTTGGGGAAAGGAAGCAACTATTGGGTGTGACTGAACACACAAGGAGACTGCTAGCTGGGAAGAGCCAGTTTTGCAACGGAAGAGTACCACAATGGAAATTGTGGTTGGGAGGGCAACGTATAGTTTTGCATTGTGTATTTGTATTTTCTTGTGTTTTCAGCAATGCCTTGGCAACTTTACCACTTGTGGACTTCAACTCCCAGAAGTCAACAAGTCGTAAAGTTGTCAAGATTGGAGCCCCTTGCTTTATTCAACCATGGGCCCGCCGAGGCATAAGAAAGCAGAAAAAGAGAATAAACCTCAAAAGTCTGTCTTGCATTCCCTGTTGTTGCCTTGTTGAGGAACCACAAAGCCTCACACAGTTACCGTCAACCCTCTTATGACCTTTGCAGCGCTGCTTTTCGGATTCGGTGGAGGGTTATTGGCGTGATGGGTCTGTAACACACCCAATAAAAGCTGCAAAGTCATCAACAGGATTAGCCCTCAAGTGGCTCACAAGCACAACACGGACACAACTCTAGTTTGGGGGTTTTGGTTTGGTTTTTGTTTTTCCAGGAAAAAAAAAGGAAGTTAGCCGTGGTTGTTTTTTTTCTCCCCCCAACTTTTTCTCTCTCCCCAAACAGCTCCTTCTCCTCAGAGGGGAAGGACACTGCTGGTCACTGTCCATGGATAACTGGGATCATTTGGATCATATCAAGTTTGTTTGTACTTCCGGGAAGGCGAATGGAGTTTTATTTGTTTGTTCATCAAATTTATAGAGCGGCATTTCACAAATAACGATCCAGATGCGGCGGAAAGATCTGCTCAGATCTAAGCTTTGTACAGCAATCGGTGAGTAAACATAAGACTTTGCTTGAAAGGTGTTAGGAGGGGAAAAAAACAACTACAGATTGTCCGTCTCCAAGGCCATCTCGCCAACCATGAATGGTACTAGCATCTTCCTTCACTAATCGTGCAGTTCGGTAACCATTAACACAGAGCGAAGGAAATGCAAATGGCGGACGGTTTTTGAGACCCACACCGGGGCTTTCTTCTGTCTTAATGGTTCACCTGGAGGAAGGTAAGCTTCCCCTCAAAGGGCTGGTTAATACTTTCTGAAGGAGCCATTCAAGAGGTTGAGGGAAGACCTTGGAAAACAACAGGGGTGGGGGAGAAGTTATGCTGTGGTGTTTTCGACAGGTTGTGCCTCTTGACTGGAGGACGCAATTGTGAGAGTGAAACTGTTGGAGGAGGGGGGGGAGAGAGAAGAATGGAAAGAGGAGCTGGGGTGAAGGAAGAGAGGGAGAAGACCAGCTGGGAAAACCATGGGTAGAAAATGGTCATCAGTTCATGCCTGTCCATCAACGGTGGTGAAAGGTTAGTAAGGCGGTCCTAAGTAAGGTTGAGGAGATACAATAGGTCATGATTTGTTCCACAGAGGAGGTAGGGGTGAAGGAAGATGAATGTAGGGTGGAATCTGTGTCTGCATGAAACTTTCCTCTAAAGGTAATTGACCTCTTCTCGCTTGGATTTCTTTCTTGGCCCAACAAGGGGTCAACGTCAACTTATGCCCGCTCACTTTTACCCAGAAACACAGGTTTCTCCTGACATCAAGACCTGGAGGCCATTAAACACCTGGGGTTGGACTAAGGGCAGAGGGAGAAGGAAAGAGACACCGGTCTAGGACAGCCCATCATGATAGCAAATCAACCTCTTTCAACAGCTCCCAGTTATCTGGAAGTGGAACTGAAGAAAAATCGGAAAGTTGGGTCAGGCCAAGCCAAGGTCCATGAAGTCACGAAGCCATTGTGAATGGGGGTGGGGGGTTTCTGGGTTGTTACTCATTCTTCCCAGGAGCTGGTACAGGGCAGGGAAAGGGGGATTCATATTTCCCTCCCCCGACAGGACAGGGGAAAAAAAATAGAAAAATAGAAGAGCCATTTATCCCGATGACAGACCATCAATAAAGACACAGTTCCACTGCATCGAAAAACTGCCAGCAAGTGGACAAAAATTAATAAATGGACTCCTAATAGAAAACGCTTTGTTTGTTTTTAAAATTAAAAAAAACAATCCTAAAAAGAGCGTGTTGAATCCTTCTTTTGTCTGCATGCAGAGTTTTGGGAAGCGTGCCAACCTTGGTGCTGAACTGCTGGCATCAGGGCAGAAAAAAATCAACATGTTCCTTCCGTAATAGAATTTGTGCAACGCCTAGATTCGGGTCAAACGCTTCCTTTTCAAAGGATGACTGCGACAACCCCCAAAATAAAATGACTGTGGGTGGCCAGGACATGGGACAACTCTCAGATCCGCTTTGGGGTCTTTGGGGATCAGGTGACCCATCCAGCCAAAACTGTAGAAGGTCCTGGGTGGTCTGCCCCCAAAAGGCAGTAGATCCAACATGACACTGGGCCTACAGTGATGTTGGCTTGATATTGCGTGGAGGAAAGGCAAGTAGAGGCCTATGGGGTAAACTCAGACGAGGGAAGATCCACCACAGGGGAACGGGACTCAGTGACCTCAGACATCCCCACAAAAGTTGCCAATGGGTCAAGCCCAGCCCTGCTTGGAGAAGGCAAGGGAAGGCAGGACAGGAATCTGAAACAAGGATGGAAGCCCATCAGTCAACAAAGCTTTTGTTGGTGGATGAACCTTCCCACCAAGTTGCCTGGGCTTAATTGCAAGTATAAAGACCTCAACAAGAGTCTCACTTCGGGGGACTTGAGAAGAGAGGGTCTGTGAAATTATGCTGGGTTCATGGCTGTCCTCTCCTTAACGCAGAAGAAAGATTGGCCATCGGTACTTGGAAACCATCAACCGGTGGAACACAAGTTGCCGTCAGAGGTTGTGGGAGCTTCATCACTTTAAGCTTTCAAGAAGAGACTGGACCCCCATCTGTCAGAAATGGTGGAGGGTCTCCTGCTTGGATGGGGGTGGACTAGTCCAGGGGTAGGCAACCTTGGCTCTTTTATGACTCGTGGACTTCAATTCCTAGAATTCCTGAGAGAGCCATGCTCAGGAATTCTGGGAGTTGAAGTCCACGAGTCATAAAAGAGCCAAGGTTGCCTACCTCTGGACTAGATGATCTATAAGGTCCCTTCCAACTATTCTATTCTATTCTATTCTATTCTATTCTATTCTATTCTATTCTATTCTATTCTATTCTATTCTATTCTATTCTATTCTATTCTTCATTCCTATATTCTCTTCTCTTCTATTCTTTTCTCTTCTATTCTTTACTCCTATATTATATTTTATTCTATATATTTCCTATTCTATCCTATCCTATTTCTTCTTACAGTCAAGTCTATCTATCCAATCTATATCTATATCTATGTCTGTCTGTCTATGTCTATCATATCTACATGACTGTCTATCTATCCAATCCATGTCTATATCTCTCTATGTCTGTGTCTGTCTATCTATCTCTCTGTCTATGTCTATCATATCTACATGACTGCCTGTTTATCCAATCTGTATCTATCATATCTATATCTATGTCTATATGTCTATGTTTGTCTGTCTATCTATGTCTATCATATCTACATGACTATCTATCTATCCAATCTATGCCTATCATATCTATATCTATATATCTGTCTGTCTGTCTATGTCTATCATATCTACATGACTGTCTTATCTATCCAATCCATGTCTATATCTCTCTATATGTCTATGTCTATCTATCTCTCTGTCTATCATATCTACGTGACTGCCTGTTTATCCAATCTGTATGTCTATCATATCTATATCTATGTCTATATGTCTATGTCTATCATATCTATATCTATATATCTGTCTGTCTATGTCTATCATATCTACATGACTGTCTTATCTATCCAATCCATGTCTATATCTCTCTATATGTCTATGTCTATCTATCTCTCTGACTGTCTATTATATCTACATGACTGCCTGTTTATCCAGTCTGTATCTGTCTATCATATCTATACCTATGTCTATATGTCTATGTCTGTCTGTCTATCTATCTATGTCTATCATATCTACATGACTATCTATCTATCCAATCTATGTCTATCATATCTATATCTATATATCTGTCTGTCTGTCTATCTCCGGGATAGCGCAGTGGATAGAATGCAGTATTGTAGGTTAATTCTGCCCACTGCCAGCAGTTCAATCCTGATGGGACTCATAGTGGACTCAGCCTTCCGTCCTTCCAAGGTTGGTAAAACGAGGACCCAGATTTTGGGGGGGTAATATGCTGACTCTGTAAATCACTTAGAGAGGGCTGTAAAGCACTGTGAAACGGTATATAAGGCTAAGTGCTACTGCTATTTGGTGACCAGAGACCCCTCTAGCCCCTTGGGGTCCCACAGGAAGACCAGCTCTACTCTGGGTCTACCACCGAGTAGGGTAAGCCAGGGGAGGTCAGCACCTGTGCACCCCCTTCCCATGGGGCCAAGTGAGACCCCGTTTCACCCAAGACCGGCCCCTCCCTTCCAACATCTCTCTTTACCTCCATCCTTCTCGGCTTCGTCCCGGATTAGTGGGGAGGTGAGGGTCACTTTGAGGGTTAACGGGAGCCCCGTTGTGCTACGGACGACGACGGCCGCTTCGCCGGGATGGTGTTCTATGTGGTATTTCTCTTCTGTGAGTTTCTGAAACAAGCCAGAAACGGCTGCGTCAAGCCACAGGGTGGGGAGAAGCGTTGGTGTCCAGCAGAGTAACGCCTCTGCTGAAAGCGCCTCGGTGCACCGAACTAACGGATGGTTTTGCAGAAACGGCGACGGTAAACATTGAAACAACCACAGCAGCAACAGCCAGACTTTGAGTCTTCTTCTGGGGGGGGGGGAAACAACCACTTTGGAGAGAGTTTCTCCCCCCCCCCCCCCGCTAGAAATGTTGGCAGAAGCCCTTCTGGAGCATTCAAGAAGAGTCAGGAAAACCGAGTTTAAAAAAAGAAGTTGGCGAAGAATTGCTGCAGTGCAGGTACATTTCCCGGTCCCTGGAGGCTGCGGAAACAGTCTCCTTTTTCCAAGGGCTTTTATCACCGGCCGGCAGGCAGCCCATCCAGCCTGCTAAGGCCATCCAGGGCCTCACAATCCGTACTCAGTTGTGGCTCTTGCACCAGATTGTAAGATAGGAGACACCAAGGCAACTTGGTTCCCTGTTGCCCGAGCCAGTCCATCCATCCACTCTGTTAGGAGAGCTTGAAATGGCCACTCATTTGCCTGTTCACGCACGATAAGAGGGGACCCTCCCACTTTTTACGACGGGAGTCGTTCACCAACATCGTTAACCTACCCTGATTTTTTTCTCAGTTTGTACAACCATCCAATTGAGAACCGTTTATTTTCGACAGAATTAACCACGCTTTCATTTTTTATTTAGAGTATTGCTATTTTTGAACTCATCCTAACAAAGATCCTGTTCCGGTCTTCTACAATACAATCGACTAAAAATAAAAAAAATTCTCTCGTAGTTATGTTTCCTAGCAGGAACAATGTTATTAATACTGATTCATACCCCAAAGTGAGTCTCTCCCGGTTATTTCTAGGGCTGCCGATCTGATTATCGTATCTGACAAGCTGCCGAATTGGTCAGACAACAACAACAATAATAATAATAGCGATTTAGAATATTGGAAAATGTACACAGGTAGTCCTTGGCTTACTAAAGCTTGTTTAATATCCGAAGCTACACTGAAAAAAAGTGACTTTATGACCATTTTTCACACTTAAACCGCTGCGGCATCGCTGTGCTCACGTGACTGACATTCAGATGCTTGACAGCTGGTTCATATTTATGACGGTCGCACTATCCGGAGTGTGTGTGTGTGTGTGTGTGTGTGTGAGAGAGAGAGAGAGAGAGAGAGAGAGACGTGATCCCCTTTTGCGACAAGCAAAGACAACTTAACTAATTTAACTACTAATTTAACAACTGCAGTGGTCCACTTAACAAATGAGGCGAGAAAAGTCGTAAAATGGGTAAAAACTCAACGAACACTGAACAACATAAATTGGACTCAATTGTGCTCATAAGTCCCTGTGAACAAAAGAGGCACATTTGGAGGTTTAGTTATCCAGTTAAGGGATACCTGTCACTAATAAGTAGATTCTGTCTTGGAGGCAACTTAACTGGTTTGTGGCTTTCTACATTTGGACTGAAAGCGTCACAATTACAAGTATTTCCTGGCTGGTGCAGGATTTTGGGAGGGCAGAGATTCGAGCAGCGGGCAGCAGGGGGCTGCCCTTGCTCAGCTCAGAAAAGACACCTTGCCAAGAAAAATGAGTTTCAAAATGCTGCCTCCAGCAACTGATGGAAGGAAAAAAATGGAAAAAGCCAAGAAGCCTGCGCCGTTTTTTTCCCCTCACCTTCTCTGGAGAACAACCTGCGTTGCCAAGAAAAATAGATGCGTTTTTAAACTGCCCCAGTTTTTCCTTGGTTAAGAAGGAAAAACACACACTGGGAAAAATTTCTTCTGGGTCCAGATAATAAAACAGGGAGCAGCAGCCGCCAGAGTTTGGTGTGTGTGTGTGTGTGTGTGTGTGTGTGTGTGTGTGTGTGTGTGTGTGTGTGAGAGAGAGAGAGAGAGAGAGAGAGAGAGAGGAGAGAGAGGGAGGAGGGAGGGAGGGAGAGAGAGAGAGAAAGAGAGAGGGGGGGGTTCATTCTCCCAGCTTGTGGGTTGGTTTCCGAACGTTGTATTACAAAGCTGGGATGGTTTCTGAACGTTGTGTTACCAGGCTGGGTAACCTCGTCAGCGGAGTTTAGAAGATGTCAGAGTGCTTCTGTTTATAAGGGCTTCTGGTGCGGGTCTGTTGAGTGAGGGTCTTGTGATGGGTCAGGTGTGAGTCATGAGTGAGAGGCCTGTGATGGGTCTTGTGATGGGGAGGTTACACTGACCTACCACCAGCCTACGAACCCCTCCAAATCCAAATCAACCGCCCAGCCAGAGGCAGCACCAACCCTCAGCCATCCCGCGCAATCCCCCACTTCCCATTAGCAGTTCCCCTCCCAGTGACCCTGACCTGATGTAACCTCCCCATCATAACACCCATCACAAGCCTCTCTTTCACACCTGATCCATCACAAGACCCTCACTCGACACCCCCACACCTGAAGCCCTTATAAACGGAAGAACACCGACATCCCCGAAACTCCGCTAAAGATGTTATCTAGTGTGGTAACACAACGTTCGGAAACCAACCCACAAGCTGGGAGAACGAACCGCCACCCTTGTGTCTATGTTGTTTTGTTGGCAACAATGTGGAAAGGTTCTTGGTGTCTTTTGTCTGCTTCCCAAGAGAGACTACATCCCTAACAGGGCTTGGTGGTTGCCCATCCAAGTATGAATCAGGCCGGATCCCACTTATCTTCCAAGCTAGAAGAACTCTGCTCAGAGACCCATCATAAGACCTGACCCATCAAAAGACCCATCACAGACCCACACCTGGAGATTACCTAGCCTGCTAATGCAACATTTGGAAACCAACCCACAAGCTCGGAGAATGGACCTTCACCCTCATCCTACACCCAAGCTACAGATATTCGCCACTATTGCAAACCCAGAGATCAATTATGTGGGCTTCTAGAGTTTTGGCTCACCTGGATTTGGACAGGTAGATTGTCTTTGACGAGGGATAAGAGGGTCTCTGTGGGCTTCTCTTTGCACATGAGGACCAGTTCCAGGTCCATGTCGTCCTTTATCAACAAGCCTTTGGCCACCAAACCAATCCTCATCACGCCACACAAGATCCGGCCGCCTTGCTCCCTGGAAAGGGTGGAAATTTCATTGTTACGATTGGTTGCACAGTCAGCCAGATGTTTAAGCTGGACTGGGCATTTTGATCCACTTATTGAGACCTTCTCAAGGACCTTGGATAGGCAGATGTGGAGGTTTAATGGGGTCAAAAGCATCATCGCAGGATGTAAGCTGTTCCCAGCAAAGCTGCCTTTGGCAATTGACTGATGGAGATTCTGTCAATGCCGAAGGTATCCTAATAATAAATTATTATGGTTCATCGCACAGGCAGCAGGTATTTAGACTGGATTTTTGTCCACCTATTGAGACCTTCCCAAGGACCTGGGATAGGCTGATGTTGATCCTTTGGGGTGTTAAAAGATCTCCTTGCAGGATGTAAGCTGTTCCTAATGAAGCTGCCTTCTGCAAATTGACCAATGGGGATTGTGTCAATGCCGTTAGCGCTCAAATGGTACTCCAGCTGTTTTGGGATCACACACAAGACTCTTGTGTGGACCCCACCTCTGCTTTCTTTTGCCGCAGTCGTTCTACTTCTGCTTGCAATTATTATTAATAGTATTTTGCACCTGCTTTGCTCTCTTAAAACCCAGAATGTTGGACAAGGGACGTCGCAAGGCTTTAGAGCGTGCAAGAATGTGAACGCCAGACTGTTAATTCATTAGAGCAGCTGCTTCGGCTTCCAGAGGGTAACGCAACTCACACCAAGACAACTGTGTCAACAGCTCGGTGAACGGGTGGCTGGGATTTTGGAAAATGCTGGACCGGCAACTCAGTTCACCCCCGAGCAGCTGAAGGGCAAATGGAAGGCTACGGATGTTCTTAGGCAGAGTGGTCTCTTCAACCAAACTGCGGCTGCCTCTGAAAACCCTCACCTTGATGTAAGGACACAGCGCAGCTGGCCCACATAATCTGCCACGTCACAGAGTTTTACCACTAATAAATTTTGCATTTAAAGCTCCAACACCCTCCTTCTTCCAATCACGGTCCATTTTCTGCTCCAGAGAATCTGAGGCATGATTTTTTTGTTTCTTTCTCGTCTTTCTTGTGGCAAGGAAAGCTGGCCTTGGAGGGAAAGGGGGGGTGGGCTTCTACTCATTGCAGGAGCTTTTTATGCATAAAGAGCTCGCTCCCTTTTTTAAAAGATGTGGGGAGTGGATAGAGAGAGCTGTAGCAAGGCTGGCATAGGGAAAGGAAATAAATTAGGGTCAAGAGGCAGACCATCACAAAGAGCAGCGCTGGATTTCCATGCAGGCTTCCTTATAGCCAACCTGCTCATTTTGGGGAACACCTGGCCAAAAGTGTTTTTAATCCGCCTGTCCATGCACACACCAAAGAAAACAGCACCCCAAATTTAGCACGAGCTGATGTAAAAAATTCCAGCACAGAGAACCAGGGGAAAAACAGGCTCCTGGAATTTGCACCATCGGCAGCTATTAAAAAATGTAATCACAACCTCCGATTTTCTGGCAAAAAGGAGATGGCAAAGGGAAGGATGTTGCACGTTCAAATGAACAACCAAATAATAACTTTTCCTCTTATTTTCTTCCTGGCCTTCCTTCTCAGCCTGGCTCAGCTTGGAAACCTCTCCCTTTCCCCTCAGCATGGCTGGCTCAGGAATTCTGGGAGTTGAAGTCCACAAGTCATGAAAGGGCTAAAGTTTCCCTCATGCTGGCTCAGGAATTCTGGGAGTTGAAGTCCACCAGTCATGAAGGGGCCATAGTTCCCCCATGCTGGCTGAGGAATTCTGGAAGTTGAAGTCCACCAGTCATAAAAGAGCCGGATCCACCTAACGACTGTGTTACTAACTTAACAAACTGCAGTGGTTCGCTTAACGAATGGGTCGGGAAAACTGGTGCAGCACTGTTTGCAGAATGGGGCTTTTGGCGGGCTCAGCAGGGCAGAGACAGCCTGGACCATTCCTATTGGCTTTGGAAAGCCAATAGAATTAGACTCTATTCAAGAGAGTCTATTCTATTGGCTTTCAAAATCCAATAGAATAAAAGGGAGTAGCACAGCTAAGGAAAAGGGGGGGAAATGGCGGACTGCGTTGTTTGGCGACCCCCGTGAAATGGTCGTTCGACCCCAATGGGGTCCCGACCCACAGGTTGAGAACCACTGGTCTAGTCTAAAGAAAAGAAGAAACAGAGGTGACATGATAGCAGTCTTCCAATATCTCAGGGGCTGCCCCAAAGAAGAGGGAGTCAAGCTATTTTCCAAAGTGCCTGAAGGCAGGACAAGAAACAACGGATGGAAACTAACCAAGGAGAGAAGCAACCTGGAATCAAGGAGAAACTTCCTAACAGCGAGGACAATTAACCAGTAGAACAGCTGGCCTCCAGAAATCGTAGGCGCTCCATCACTGGAGGTTTTTAAGAAGAGACTGGACAGCCACCTGTCTGAGATGGTATAAGGTCTCCTGCTTGAGCAGGGGGTTGGACTAGAAGACCTCCAGGGTCCCTTCCAGTTCTAATCTAATGCATCTTCATATGATTCAGGTAAGTTTCCCCAGGAATGTAAGCAGATGTTCCCACGGTGGAAGGCAGTAAATGTGCAGAGAGAGATCCAGCACAGCATTGTTGCAACCAGTTACCAACACGAATGCAAATTCTGCGGGATTTCCCTGGGCAAATCCCATAGGAAAGCTTCAGGGGGTCAAGGGGAAAAGTATGACACCAGAGCCATTAATTACAACTCAATCCGGCGTGGAGAGAGTCTGCAAACTGGTGCTCTGGGGCTCCTCCAGATTTGCCCTCAGCCAACCCATCTCCTCTTAAGCCAGATCGGTTTTTTGTTTTGCGCCACAGATCTTCTCTCTCCCTACAGTTTGTTTGTGCACCCATCGATGGCTTATCGCTGGAGCCTCAAAGTCCAGATATGTGGTCTGTGGGCTTTAAAAAAAAAAAAAAAAAAGCAAATTAAAAAAAAACAACTCAGCAAAGCAGACCAGCTGCTGTTTTCCAACTGACCAGACTGTCCGCTGGTCCAACTTGGAGGGAAGAGATGTAGATCCATGTGTGGCTTCCATCCTGGTCGGACGACTCATTTAAGCTCTTCTCTAACGGCTAATCTAGCAAAGGCCCCCCATAGCCATGTCAGGTTACATGTTGAAGTCCACCAAATTGGAACTGAGCGCTCAATGTTACTCAGAGGCCGTCCCCAACGCGTCTCCCTCGGCCAGCCTGACTTGCCTTATTTAACCCGGAGACGACTCAGCTGACAGCTGCACAGGGCGCAACTGACAGATGCTCCCCGTCCTTGGAGTGTGTGCGGCAGGCAATGCCCCCCATGGCCAGCTCTCTTTTCTCACTGACTCTGGAAGACGATGGTAGCTCAGCAATTCTGTTTTTCCACAAATTCTGGCCGAGAAGATCTCAAGATCCCAGAAGGAGCTACAAGATGAGCTGGTTACTCAAGCCCAACCCTGAGACGGTATTTCCCCGAAAATAAGATTGGGTTTTAATATTCATTTTTGCTCCAAAAGACGCATGAGGTCTTATTTTCGGAGAAATGCGGTACTAAATGCGTCCGTCTGGCTGACGATCTTAACTGGGGCTTATTGTTGGGGTGGGGCTTATATTATGAGCCTCCTAAAAAATCATGCTAGGGAGTATTTTCCAGTTGTCTCTTATTTGGGGGGGGGGGGAAAGAGTACTTTCCTGGACACAAAGAGTGCAGAGAAGAGCAACGAAGATGATCAGGGGACTGGAGGCTAAAACATATAAGGAACGGTTGCTGGAATTGGGTCTGTCTAGTTTAATGAAGAGAAGGACGAGGGGGGACAGGATAGCAGTCTTCCAATATCTCAGGGGCTACCCCAAAGAAGAGGGAGTCAAGCTATTCTCCAAAGTCCCTGAAGGCAGGACAAGAAGCAACGGATGGAAACTCATCAAGGAGAGAAGCAACCTGGAACTAAGGAGAAATTTTCTGACAGAACAATTAATCAGTGGAACAACTTGCCTCCAGAAGTTGTGAATGCTCCAACACTGGAAGTTTTTAAGAAGAAACTGGACATCCATTTGTCTGAAATAGTATAGGATTTGAACTAGATGATTTCCAAGGTCCCTTCCAACTATTATTATTATTATGGATCATCACACAGTCAGCCAGATGTTCAGACTGGATTTGGCATTTTGTCTACCTATCGAGTCCTTACCCAGGACCTGGGATAGGCAGATGTGGATGTTTGATGATATTACAGATCTCATCGCAGGATGGAAGCAGTTCCTAGTAAGGCAATTGACTAATGGCGAATTTGTCAATGCCGATGGTGTTCAAGTGGTGCTCCAGTTGTTTTGGGATTGCACCCAAGGCGCCTATTACTATTGGTACTACCCTTGCTTGCCTTTGCCACAGTCTTTCTATTTCTATTTGTAGGTCTTTGTATGTTGTTGTTGTTGTTAATATTACCATCGGGATTGACCAAATCCCCATCGGTCAATTACAGAAGGCAGCTTTACAAGTCTTCAGCCATTTGTCTGAAATGGTATAGGGTTTCCTATACCATTTGAACTAGATGACCTAGTTCAAGGGGGTTGAACTAGATGACCTTCAAGGTACCTTCCAACTCTATTATTCTATATTATATTCTATATTCTACATAGGGAAGAAGAGGGTAGACCTTGTCTTCTGCCATTTTTTTTCCCTAATATTCTCCACACCCATGAACTTTCACAGACCAAGTAGATCACCTACTGAGCTGTGCATGGAGTAGATTTTCCACCCAGCACTAGATGGTGGATCTAGCTAGAATATAAAACGGGTCAGCCCGCGTTTCATCCACTCACTTGCTACTCCGGCTATCAGCCGATTCCTCTTGGTCTTCCAAGGTGCTCTCCATCTTAGAAGACTTGCTTGTCTCGTCCATCCAATCGGAGACCTGCTTAAGGGCACACTCGACGGTGGAGACCATGTTCTGGACGGCTTCAAGTTCCTCTGGAGACGGATAAATCGTCGAATGCTTCATCATCACGTGCCGGTCATCGTTAGCAAACGATCGGATTGATCTCTGCGGGGAGGTGCGGGAAGGAACCGAGGTCAAGGCGAGGATCCCCAAGACGACAGAGAAACCAGTTAGACAAGATGACAATAAAGATCACCTTTATTGTCACTTTTTGGTTACTGTGGGCACACTGGCACACATTAAACATGAAATTCCGTGGCCCGCTCTCAAAAGCGTACACATACATAACACGCATATAAAAGGGCTACATACAACCTACAAACCTACATCCTGACACGCAAAGACATATATTATTCACTGTCTGTTTTGAAGACATAGCGCAGTGATGGCGAACCTTTTAGAGTCTGAGTGCCCAAACTGCAACCCAGCTGGGCGTGGCCCACTGGGTGGGCAGGGCTGTGGTGGTCATAGCAGACTGGGTGGGTGTGGCCCATTGGGTGGGCATAGCTGCGGTGGGACTAAAAAGTTCAATCAATCAATTCCAACTTTCCAAGATCTTTTTTTTTTCCCGCGAGAAGTTGAAATTGATTGATTGATTGAACTTTTTTTTGTGTGTACACCGTGGTGGAGGCCTACAGCGAAAAGGTTTTTTAAAACCCAGCTGAAGGCCTAGGACTGGGGCGACAGCATGCGTGCCCACAGAGAGGGCTCTGAGTGCCGCCTCTGGCACCCGTGCCATAGGTTCGCCACCACTGATCTATTCTATTCTGCATTCTAGTCTAGTCTATTCTGCATTCTATTCTATTCTATCTTCTATTCTATTCTATTCTATTCTATTCTATTCTACTCTATTCTACTCTATTCTATCATTATTCTATTCTATTCTAATCTATTCTATCATTATTCTATTCTATCATTATTCTATTCTATCCTATTCTATTCCATTCCATTCTATTATTGTCTTCTCTTTTCTTCTTTTCTCTACTCTATCATTATTCTACTCTATTCTACTCTATTCTATTCCATTCCATTCCATTCCATTCTCTATTTTCTATTTTCTATTCTACATTCTATTCTATTCTATATTTACATTCTATTCTACATTCTATTCTATTCTATTCTATTCTATTCCATTCCATTCCATTTTCTATTCTATTCCATTCCATTCTATTATTGTCTTCTCTTCTCTTCTCTTCTCTTCTCTTCTCTTCTCTTCTCTACTCTACTCTACCATTATTCTACTCTATTCTACTCTATTTATTCTATTCCATTCCATTCCATTCCATATTCTAGTCTATACTCTATTGTACTCTAGTCTAGTCTACTCTGTTCTATTCTACTCCATTCTATTCTATTCTGCATTCTAGTCTCTACTCTACTCTACTCTGTTCTATTCTATTCTATTCCGTTCTATTCTGAATTCCCTCCCGGCAGAAAGGACTAAGGAAGCACCTCATTTCGACTGGTCCTCAGGAGAAGAAAGGCTGGTTACTCACCACCTCGTCTTTCTCCAAAGGCAGAGGACCTCAAAGGGAGGTGAAATGTTACCCCGACAGGAATAAAGTATCTCAAACTAGGGCTCAGATGACTAGAAGTGGGAGGCAGCCTTCTGGCCTCCCACCCCAAGCGGCAACATCTGGAAGACCCAGATTGTTTGATCTTCTTGGTTGGCCTCTCCAGCCTGAGAATCCAAATAAAGTCCACGATTCCTCAGAGCCGTACCTCTTCGGCTATTTTGGGGAGAAGTTGCAGAAGAACCACCCTCTGTGTCCCCCACCATCAAAGAAGACCAGAGAAAGGGAAATCCACTTCCCAGGGTGGTGGGATGTGTGTGTGTGTGTGTGTGTGTGTGTGTGTGTGTGTTAAAATGTCCCTATCAATGCCATCTGGCAGAGGAAAGGGGGAGAAAAAATGCCCTTCAAATCCCCAGCCATGAAGAACCTCAGGGAAGAGGGCAACCCCCTCCCCATGGACCCTCATGGAGTTCAAGGTTTGCAACTCGCAAATGTCACTTTTATTAGCAAAGGTTATTTATGCCCATCGGTCTGCACTGGCGCTTAATAATTCATGCCACGCTGGGGCTCCCACAACGTCCCCGCTATAAATCAAGGTCTGTTTTTCGCAGCCGAAGAGCGGGACAGCCCTGTTTCGCTAGGCCGGTTTAGCAAAGCTGGTTACTCAACGGGACCCTCCATGCTGCAGACTGAAGCTCTTTCTCCCCCACCCCCCACCCCTCGGGGTGACCAGCCAGCGGGACCTACCATGGCTACAGCAGATTTCACCTCTGGTGCTCTTCGCCTTTCTCCTTCTCCCTTCTCCTGGGTATCTTGGCTAGGCACTGGGATTTCAACCAGCAGCTCCACATAAGCCTCTCAGTCTTTTCCCAGCTCAGAAGGTCACCCAGGTGTGGCGTTCCTGGAGTCAGGTTCCACCAGGCACCTGCAAAGCCGAGAGAGAAACAGGAGAGAAATTCAGAAGCGGAAGAAATTGGAAACCAGCTGGACCAGGCACTTTCCACGGGAGAGGCTGCAGTTTTGCCAGGCGAAGGAAGATGCTTGTTTTCTGCGGAAGGCAGAAATGTCCCCAAAGGGGTTGACCACCAGCAGTTCTTCAGCCCCAACTGAATGGAATCACCAAGTTGGAAAGGACCTCGGAGGTCATCTAGTCCAGGGCTTTTCAATCTTTTCACTCATTGTACCACTTTTAGGATACGGCAACATCCGAGGACCACCAGTCGCCTAGCAAGGTGTCAAAAACTTGATGACCCCCCCCAAAAGGAAAAAAGTGATAAAGTACAGGTAGTCCTTGACTTACAAGAGTTCACTTAGTGACTGTTTGAAGTTACAATGGCACTGAAAAAAGTGCCCCCCAAGCCACAGCCGAGCAAGACACCTGCCTGCCCACCTGCCCGCGCTCTTCCTCCTGTCCGAGGTTTTCATTGTTGTGAACACTTCTGTTGGGGATTGGCAGCAGGGGTGGGATGGGGGGTGTTTGGTTTTTATTCCCCCATCTGCTGGATGGTTTCAGCAGGTTCTGGTCGCTTCACATGACCCTGGGACACTGACCGTCATAAATATGAATCAGTTCCCAAGCATCTGTATGTAAATCACAAGACCCTGGAGATGCTGCAACATTCCAGCTGATCGGTGCTTCTTCTGGGCTCAGCAGAAGTGTCAGGATCAGTGTTGCTTTCCAGCTGATTGGTGCTTCTTCAGGGCTCAGCAGAAGCACCAGGATCAGTGCTGAGCTCCAGCTGGAGCCTGGCGCTGATCCTGGCGCTTCCAGTGAGCCCTGACCGCCCCGAAGCACCGATCAGCTGGAAAGCTGCACTGATCCTGGTGCTTCCGCTGAGCCCTGACAGCCCTGCAGCTCCAGCCGTCTCTCGCTCAGGCTTGTGCGGTGCGGCCACCGGTTCAGCTCATTCCCCTCGCCCGCCACTTTTCTACGATGGTCGCGTACCACCTGCCAGTTGCCAATGTACCACAGGTGGTACATGTACCACTGGTTGAAAAGTCTTGATCTAGTCCAACACCACCACCCCCGCCCATGCAGGAGACCCTACACCGTTTCTGACAGATGACAGTCCAGTCTCTTCCTGAAAGCTTCCAGGGATGAAGCTCCCACAGCTTCTGAAGGCCCCCCAACTGCTCTCTCTCTCCAGCTCCTTTGAAACTTTCCTCAGATTCCTCTTCTCCCCCACAACCCGCTGCCTAAAATCAAGAAACACCCCCCCCCACTACACACACTGCATAAAGAAGAAATATTTAAGGCCCATCTTAAACACTTAGCCAATGACGGGGACAACCACCTGGAACACATTAATTTTGCAGGAGGAAACCCACAAGGATAATCTTAGCAATCTAAGATAATCTCTTACGTTCAACGGATTTGATTTCCAAGGTGAAGATTTAACTGTTCGACGGCCACAGGTACCCACCGACATTTGGGGGTGGCGGGGAAGGTTAAAAGCCCAAACAGGAACCCAGAGCACTGTAAGTACCTCAAGTACCTCCTAAATTCCTTAAACTTCCCCCCAAGTCCTGCAAAATAATCTCAGCCTCCTCATTTTTCAACCCTCCGAGGAAAGTTAAGACAATTCTAAAACGGACACAAAAGCCCTTAATGTTTACTTGGAAGTTATTTCCAAGCAAAAACTTTTCAAGTATGACACAACTAGGCTCCTGTTGCATTATTTAGAGTTTTCAAAAAGGGAGGAAAACAAGGTTATTGTACCGATTTTGGGATGCCTTGAAGTACTCTCAGCATAACATTGATTTCTACCAGCCGTAAAGACTCTGGCCGGTTCACAGGAAAGAAAGAAAGAAAGAAAGAAAGAAAGAAAGAAAGAAAGAAAGAAAGAAAGAAAGAAAGAAAGAAAGAAAGAAAGAGGGAGGGAGGGAGGGAGGGAGGGAGGGAGGAAGGAAGGAAGGAGAAGGAAAGAAAGGAAAGAAAGAAAAAAGAAAAAGGAAAGAAAAATAAGGAAATAAAGGAAGGGAAGGAATGAAGGAAAGAAAGAGAAGGAAAGAAAGAAAAAGAAGGAAGGAGAGAGGGAAAGAAGGAAAGAAGGAAGGAAGGAAAGAGAAGGAAAGAAAGAGGAAAGAAAGAAAAAGGAAGGAAAGAGAGAGGGAGGGAGGGAAGGAAGGAAAGAAAGAAAGAGAAGAAAAAAGGAAAGAAAGAAAAAGAAGGAAGGACTGAAAGAGGGAAGGAAGGAAAGAGAAGGAAAGAGAAAAAGGAAAGAAAAAAAGAAAGAAAAAGGAAAGAGAGGGAGAGAGGGAAGGAAGGAAAGAGAAGGAAAGAAAGAAAAAAGGAAAAAAGAAACAAAAGAGGGAAAGATGGAAGGAAAGAGAAGGCAAGAGAGAAAAAGGAAAGAAAAAAGAAAGAAAAAGAAGGAAAGAGAGAGGGAGGGAAGGAAGGAAAGAAAGAGATACCATACAAAGAGCAAAGCAATAAAATGAAAACAAAAATAATGTCCTTCCTAAGAAATCCTTTAATTCTGATGCAGATTTTGGAGTTCGGTTATTGCAGCCGTCCACCAATTTGACGTGTACAGTGATACCTTATATGTCCTTTGTTAGTCACAGCTTTCACACTGAAGGGCGGGCGATGTAAGGCCTTTTATTCAATGCATGAAGCATTTCTCTAACGTTTATGGAAAAACGTGCATGCATGGAGTTACTGGCAATATACGTCATCGGACATCTATAAATCCATTAACAGCCTGTGGAATTCTCTACCGGTTGGCAATCTGTGTATGTTTAGGAGAAAGTTGCTGAACATTAAAACTGCTTACCGCCATCTCAATTTTTAGCTAGGCAGTTGTTGGTTTTTTTAGCCAAACTCTCATGTGTCTATATCAGAATCAGAATAGAACTGGAAGGGATCTCGGAGGTCTTCTAGTCCAGCCCCCTGCTCAAGCTGGAGAACCTATACCATTTCAGATAAGTGACTGTCTAGTCTCTTCTTAAAAACCTCCAGTGATGGAGCACCCACAACTTCTGGTGGCAAGCTGTTCCACTGGTTCATTGTCCTCACTGTTAGGAAATTCCTCCTTAATTCCAGGTTGCTTTTCTCCTGGATCAGTTTCCATCCATTATTTCTTGTCCTTCCCTCTGGTGCTTTGGAGAATAGCTTGACCCCCTCTTCTTGGTGGTAGCCCCTCAAATACTGGAATGCTGGAGGAGGAGGAGAACTGTGGGCTCCTTGATGGTCTCTGAGCTTGCTTATTTCCTTGCAGACATTTCATGACCCAACTAGGAAACATCATCAGTGCTAGAAGGGAGTAGGGCTTGCAAAGAGGAGGAGGAGGAAGACGACGACGACTGTGGGGTCCTTGGTTCTCTTTGAGCTTGCTTGTTTTCTTGCAGACGTTTCATGACCCAACTAGGGAACATCATCAATGCTGGAAGGGAGTGGGGTTTGCAAAGAAGAGGAGGAGGAGGAGGAGAACTGTGGGAATCCTTAGCACTCTCCGAGCTTGCTTATTTTCTTGCAGACTTTTCATTATCCAAACTAGGAACATCTAGTCATCTAGTCTGACTAATGACACATCTGCAAGAAAACAAGGCAGAGAGTTCTTTAGAGTGCAAAGGCTCTCGCTGATCGAGAACCTCTGTGCACATCACAATCGGGCATCGTGATACATGACAAGATAGGCCGTAACAAGCAGTGACTTTGGGGGAGGGAGGGAATCTGCTGGGGATCTCCCATGTCTGAAGAACCAGTCACAGAGCAACGGCTGAATACAGACCTACCCACAAACCCCTGCGAGTTCAACCCCCGTTTGCTGAATGATCCATCATTGGCCAGGTCCTCACAATACAACAGAGCCCTAGTTTATCCATGGGACGTGGCTTCAAAGACTGTGTGAAGCCCAGTCCAAAGCAGGCACACAAGTCCTTAGCAAGATACATCAACTCTACTGGCAGAGGTTAACCAGGGACCGAGAAGCAAGGTAATCTAGCCGCGAGAAATAATATTCCGTCTCGAAAAGGAACACCTAAGCCAACCAGGGATTTTTGCTCACCGTCCAAGCGTGATCAACTGCTTTATTTACTCAAATTAAATATTAGGCTTTCTCACAATCCACCACCTTGTTACCACCTATACCACTTTACAAGGCCTTGGTAAGGCCACACTTGGAATACGGCATCCAGTTTTGGTCACCACGATGTAAAAAAGATGCTGAGACTCTAGAAAGAGTGCAGAGAAGAGCAACAAAGATGATTAGGGGACTGGAGGCTAAAACATATAAGGAACGGTTGCTGGAATTGGGTATGTCTAGTTTAATGAAGAGGAGGACGAGGGGGACATGATAGCAGTCTTCCAATCTCTCAGGGGCTGCCCCAAAGAAGAGGGAGCCAAGCTATTCTCCAAAGCCCCTGAAGGCAGGACAAGAAGCAACGGATGGAAACTCATCAAGGAGAGAAGCAACCTAGAACTAAGGATAAATTTTTTAACAGTGAGAACAATTAACCAGTGGAACAACCTGCCTCCAGAAGCTGTGAATGCTCCAATGCTGGAAGTTTTTAAGAAGAGACTGGACAGCCATTTGTCTGAAATGGTATAGGGTTCCCTGCCTGAGCAGGGGGTTGGACTAGAAGACCTGCAAGATCCCGTCCAACTTTTATTATTATTATTATTATTATTATTATTATTATTATTATTATTATTATTATTATTATTATTATGGATCATCGCACAGTCATCCAGATGTTCAGACTGGATTTGGCGTTTTGTCTACCTATCAAGTCCTTACCCAGGACCTGGGACAGGCAGATGTGGATGTTTATTATTATTATTATTATTATTATTATTATTATTATTATTATTATTATTATTATTACTATTATCTTTGTGGTAACAATGAAGGACCAGAAGGAAGGCAGAAACATCACAACCCCTTCCCACAACCCCTTGAAATGGAGAGTCACGTTGCATAATTTCTATAAGTGGGTTGGATCACATTTACACATGATTTGCTAACACCTGTCCACATAAAACCTATGTGGATTATTCTTCTTTTTTTTTTTTTACTACCTAGACAAGTTAAATAAACTCGTTAAATTAGGTCACACGCTATTTAGTGATAGGCACGTTTTCCCATATCAAGTTCCAAAATGTAAACATCATCTCAGAGCAAAGGGCAGATTGGTAATACTATACTCAAGTGTTTATGTTTTAGAGGAATAAAGTTATTTCGGAGATACGTTGGAACAGTTTGCATTTAAATTCGAAGTGGATTCGATTCTCGTTAGACTGAGGCACTGCTTGCAACCAGGGAGCCACAAAATGACTGGACCCTGGGACGAATATTTTCATTTCTAGGCCCATCTCAAATCTACCTGTTTATCCTGCTTTTACTTCGGAAAAGTCAAGTCAAATGGAAAAAGTCCACGTTAATTATTTCCCCAGATGTTCAAATCAGTTGCCAAAGGATTGGACCAGGGATGAGAAGACCCGTGTTCAAATCTGACATGGAAGCTCATGAGACTGGCCAGTTTCCTCCTCAAGCCCACCAAGTATCACGGGGGTGGGGGGTGGTAAACCAGAGGTTTTATTTGCCACCCTGAGTTCCTACAGAAAAAGTAGGCTTGATCTGTCTGTCTATCTATCATCTATCTATCTATCATCTGTATCTATCATCTATCTATTTATCTATCTATTTATCTATCTATCCACCTACCTACCTACCTCTATCTATCTCTATCTATCATCTACCTACCTACCTACCTCTATCTATCTATCTATCTGTCTATCTATCTATCATCTGTATCTATCATCTATTTATCTATCTATACACCTACTTACCTACCTCTATCTATCTGTCTATCTATCTATCTATCCACCTACCCACATCTATCTATCTATCATCTATCTATCTATCATCTACCTATCATCTATCTACCTACCTCTCTGTCTATCTATCATCTATCCATCATCTATCTATCTATCTATCTATCTATCTATCTATCTATCTATCTATCTATCTATCTATCTATCTATCTATCTACCTATCTACCTACCTATCTATCTATCTATCTATCTATCTATCTATCTATCTATCTATCTATCTATCTATCTATCTATCTATCTATCCACCTACCCCTATCTATCTATCTATCTATCTATCTATCTATCTATCTATCTATCTATCATCTATCTACCTACCTCTCTGTCTATCTATCTACCTATCTATCTATCTATCTATCTATCTATCTATCTATCTATCTATCTATCTGTCTGTCTGTCTCCATCCATCATCTGACAAATTAAAAGAATAAATGAACATACAAAAAGCAGCGTTAAAAGCTTTCTACCACCACACCTGGTGCGCTTTCAGGTGCCTGGCTCAATTTCACGGTAGGAGAGACCCAGCCGTTGGACCTTCTCACGTTCCACCCTACCTCTGTTGAAGGTTCTGGATGCTGCCGGCCCTCCGCAGCCTCTTCCTCACCCAGGCCAGGGCTCTACCTCCCCACAGCTACGTCCTTCCGATTTATTTCAGGGATGAAGAGCATTTAAGCAGCAACTTGCTTGGCCAGCAAGGTGGAGCCATCTGACCCAGCCAGCTCAACCAGCCTTTCTTCTCCGCAAGCAGGAAGGCAAGCACAGAAGGGATCCAGGACGCTGCTTTTGAACCTGTTTGCGCAAACACCGTTGACTCAGAGGTGTCTGAAGAAAGCTTTTTCCATCTCACGACCAATCCTTCGTCTAGTCCACAACGAAATCAGGCCAACTCATGTGGTCTTCCAGCCAGAGAGATGCTCCAGAGGTTGCAGTATCAAGTCTTTTGTCACGTCAAGGCCGGTCTTGAGCCCTGCTTTTCCCTCCCAGCCTGGCATTGTTGTTTTGCTTCTCTCCTGTTTCTCTAGCTGGACTTTGGACCGTCTCGTGCGTCCATCCCTGCTCTTTGCACAATTAACCACTCGGCGTGTAATTCCTCCTCACTGTTGCTGGCTCTCTTAAATTGCTGCAATACCTGCGGATCGGCGCTCTCCCTGGCTGGTTCAAAGCCTGTTGGACTGCAGAGGAACCAGGCAAAGCTCAGCCTGACATTCCTGGGCTAAATATATCCATGGTCTGTTTTGGAAAAGGCGAGCATTCCAGCCATCATTGTCTCCACCAGTTCTGCTGAGACAGCCTTGGACAAATGCTCGTTTCCCAGTGACCTCACTTCTTAATAGCTCTGCTCCTCACTCTTGCATCATTCCATCCACTCCTTTGCAAGTGGCCCATCCAGTCACTTGGCCAAACCCACAGCAATGTTGTAATACAGCCCAACATCGTATAAACAACTGGGAAGCCAGCAGTGGGTGTAGTAGCAGTTGCTTTAGAAATTCCAGGGAAGCAAAGTCTCCATCTCAGCAATTTTGGATCCATGGACTACACCTTTGGGGTTGAGGTGTGTTCAGCCTGGGCTTCCGAGTCACTCCTGATTCCTTGTCCAAAGGAATTTGTAAGGAAGTCTTGTGTTCAAAGATGAAGCCCACAGATACTTCTTTTAGCATCTTGTCAACTGCCTGAAACCTGAATTTCTTGAAGTCTTCTTAAGTAAAAGTAAGTAGAAAGCTGGAATACAAGAAGCCAGTTCCTGCCTCACTCTTACATCCAAAAGTAGATCTGTTCCTCTACACATTTCCCCCCAAAACAACAAAGAATGATGGGTGATGGAAAGCATCTATCCTGTCTGTCTAGGGCAGGGGTAGGCAACCTTGGCTCTTTTATGACTCGTGGACTTCAACTCCCAGAATTCCTGAGCCAGCATGGCAACCTCTCCCTTTCCCCTCAGCACGGCTGGCTCAGGAATTCTGGGAGTTGAAGTCCACGAGTCATAAAAGAGCTAAGGTTGCTTACCCCTGGTTTAGGGAGCTTCTCAATCGTCCATGACATGGTTGTCCCAAAGGTGCTTTTCAAACGGCAGGTGGACTTTCTTGGTCAAGTCCTGTTGTCTTTTGAAAAGCGCCTTTGGGACATCTATCCTGTCTGCAGAAGAACAGCCCCAAGCGAAAGTAAGAGATGATAAGAGATGAAACGACATCTTCACATCAGTTGACCACCACCCAGCCCTTGTTGTAGGAACATCACCCAACCATTTCAAGCCCTCCAAGTAGGTCCACCAGCTCTATAAAGTGGAGACACTGATCACAGAGGAAGCCAACTGAGACAAAGGGAAAGAAGGGACATCTTAGAATAGAATAGAGCTGGAAGGGACCTTGGAGGTCTTCTAGTCCAGCCCCCTGCTCAAGCAGAAGAACCTATACCATCTCAGATAAGTGACTGTCTAGTCTCTTCTTAAAAACCTCCAGTGATGGAGCGCCCACGATTTCTGTTGGCAAGCTGTTCCACTGGTTAATTGTCCTCACCGTCAGGAAGTTTCTCCTTAATTCCAGGTTGCTTCTCTCCTTGATCAGTTTCCATCCACTGTTTCTTGTCCTGCCTTCTGGTGCTTTGGAGAATAAGTTGACCCCTTCTTCTTCTTTGTGGCAGCCCCTCAAATATTGGAAGACTGCTATCATGTCCCCCCTAGTCCTTCTTTTCTCTAGACTGGACATTCCCAATTCCTGCAGTTGTTCTTCATATGTTTTAATCTCCAGGCCTCTGATCATCTTAGTGGCTCTTCTCTGCACTTTTTCCAAAGTTTCAAAATATTTTTTGTAGTATGGTGACCTAAACTGGTTGCAGCATTCCAGGTGTGGCCCTATTAGGGTTTTGGAGGGGATGGAGATTTCACAGTGTGACGGCACTGGCTCGTTTCAGACGACCTCCGTGTCCTGGTGGGAATGACATCTAAAGCAACCTGACATCTCTTTCCAGACAGGAGCTGAACCCCACGAAGTGCCACAATGGAGAGAAGCACCAAGAAGGAGCTGGTCTTCTGCCAGATGTTCCCAGATTTGGGCTTGGGGACAGATGGCTTTCTACCGCAACTCACACAACCTGCTGGGCCCAAACACGTGAGGAAGAAGCTGTCTCTACATTTGGAGATCAAGGGCGCCACTGCCTTCCCGACAGATGTTAATAAAAGAGACCCTTCAAAGCAGGAAGCTGGTTTTCCTTCTTGCCTCGCTTAAACAGATGCTCTCTTTCTCCCTTTGGCAGGGAGAGTTTTTTATGGTACACACACACACACACAAACACACACCAATGACAAACGACAAAGCCCCCTGGTTCCTTCTGCACCGTAATTTTAATTTCTGGTCTCCGTTCAAAGTTCTCTCCAGCAGCATCCGTCACAGCGGGGGACCTGTATCTGGGTCATCCTCGCTCCAATGAGCATGCTGGCACTGAAACGCCGGCAATAATTTATTCTATGATTTTTGGGTGCTCTTGGGACGAGGCCTGGATAAACCCAGGGGAATTGGAACAAAAGCTTGCACACAAAATACGAGGAGAACAGCCCAAAGAACAAGCCACCTCAACATTTAATCAAACTGTCCACATAATAAATTCAGCACACAGGTGCCTTATTCCTGAACTCAGAAAAAAATGGACTCGACAGCCAATTTAGAGTCAGAATCAGAACAGAGCTGGAAGGGACTTTGGAGGTCTTCTAGTCCACCCCCCCTGCTCAAGCAGGAGACCCTATACCAGTGGTTCTCAACCTGTGGGTCGGGACCCCATTTGGGGTCGAACGACCATTTCACGGGGGTCGCCAAACAACGCAGTCCGCCATTTTTTCCCCCTTTTCCTTAGCTGTGCTACTCTCTTTTATTCTATTGGCTTTTGAAAGCCAATAGAATAGACTCTCTTGAATAGAGTCTAATTCTATTGGCTTTCAAAAGCCAATAGGAATGGTCCAGGCTGTCTCTGCCCTGCTGAGCCCGCCAAAAGTCCCAGTCTGCAAACGGTGCTGCACCAGTTGAGTAGTCCTCGACTTACGACCGGTTGGGGGTCGCGGCATTAAAAAGATTGAGAACCACTGCCCTATACCATTTCAGACAAGTGACTGTCCAGTCTCTTCTTTAAAACCTCCAGTGATGGAGCACCCACAACTTCTGGTGGCAAGCTGTTCCAGTGGTTAATTAGGGAGTTTCTCCTTAATTCCAGGTTGATTCTCTCCTTGATTAGTTTCCATCTATTGTTTCTTGTCTTGCCTTCTGGGTGCTTTGGAAAATAAATTGATTCCTTCTTCAGTGTGGCAGCCTCTCAAAATACTGGAACCCTGCTATCATGTCCCCCCTAGTCCTTCTTTTCTCCAGACTAGCCATACCCAATTCCTGCAACCGTTCTTCATATGTTTTAGTCTCCAGGCCTTTAATCATCTTAGTTGCTCTTCCTTGCACTTTTGCCAAAGGCTCAACATCTTTTTTTTTTTTGTAATTCTCCAAATGTTTAAGCTCTCTTTCTTGGAGAAGCCAACAATATCTGCTCATTTGGGAAAGGGGTAGAAGCAATAGGGATGGTGGTGAAATGAGGATTTCTCAAGCCAGCTTTCTGTAACGGAGGATTTGGGACGCACAGCCATCCAAAAATATTTCCACGGCCGAGTTTTGAGTGTCCAAATCGGCGTTTCTCAATCTCGGCCACAGGTGGACTTCAACTCCCAGAATTCTCCAGCCACAGTTGAAGTCCACCTGTCTTAAGCTGCCAAGACTGAAAAAGTCTGATTTAAATCCTGTTTGGGGAAACAGTCTGAGAGAACCCTAAACATATCTTGCCAGTAGTTCACTGGCGAGTTATTGCAACGCTCAAGCTTTAATGCACTACATTTTTTAAACCAGGTTTACCGGGAACTGCCCCAACGCCAACGTTTTGTTACGAGGCAATACATAAACGCTTGAAATAATAAATCTCACCTCTGGCACTCTAGACAATGAGTAATCAATGAGCCCAAAGTAGTTATAGAAAGAGTTTTGCTGTTGACTAACATGGTTTTGGCTACCGAGTGCCTCTAAAAAAAACCCATTCCGGAAATGAGGAAGAAAAAAAAAAGGGAGGGGGGGGGAAGGAATATTGCTGATCGCATGTACAGATTCTGCATAAGAAACTCTCTTAAGTGCATTTTCAAGCAAAGATGAATCTCTGGCGAGCCGGATGCACTAAAATATTTAACAAAAGAGCACGCAGGAAGATAAAATTAAATTGCGGGGCTGCTTTTGACTTGTTAGCCTGCCATAGGAGGTTCTGGCAGCCTTTCCTTGATGATAATAATAATAATAATAATAATAATAATAATAATAATAATAATAATGATGATGATGATGATGATGATGATGATGATGTTGTTGGAAGGGACCTTGGAGGTCATCTAGTCCAACCCCCTGCTCAGGCAGGAAACCCTACACCATTTCGGACGAATGGCTGTCCGGTCTCTTCTTAAAAACTTCCAGTGTTGGAGCATTCACCACTTCTGAAGGCAGGTAGTTCCACTGGTTAATTGTTCTCACTGTCAGGAAGTTTCTCCTTAGTTCTAGGTTGCTTCTCTCCTTGATTAGTTTCCATCCGTTGCTTCTTGTCCTGCCCTCAAGTGCTTTGGAGAACAGCTTGACTCCCTCTTCTTTGGGGCAGCCCGAGATATTGGAAGACTGCTATCCTGTCCCCCCTCGTCCTTCTTTTCATTAAACTAGACATACCCAATTCCAGCAACCGTTCCTTATATGCTTTAGCCTCCGGTCCCCTGATCATCTTTGTTGCTCTTCTCTGCACTCTTTCTAGAGCAGTGGTTCTCAACCTGTGGGTCGGGACCCCATTTGGGGTCGAACGACCATTTCACGGGGGTCGCCAAACAATGCAGTCTGCCATTTTTTTCACCCCTTTTCCTTAGCTGTGCTACTCCCTTTTATTCTATTGGCTTTTGGAAGCCAATAGAATAGACTCTCTTGAACAGAGTCTAATTCTATTGGCTTTCAAAAGCCAATAGGAATTGTCCAGGCTGTCTCTGCCCTGCTGAGCCCGCCCAAAGTCCCATTCTGCAAACGGTGCTGCACCAGTTGAGTAGTCCTCGACTTACGACCGGTTGAATAGTCCTCGACTTACGACCGGTTGGGGGTCGCGGCACTAAAAAGGTTGAGAACCACTGCTCTAGAGTCTCAACATCTTTTTTACATCGCGGTGACCAAAACTGGATGCAGGATTCCAAGTGTGGCCTTACCAAGGCTTTGTAAAGTGGTATTAACACTTTGCGTGATCTTGATTCTGTCCCTCTGTTCTTGCAGCCTA